CCTCTCCCTCTCTCTCCCTCTCCCTCTCTCTTTTCCTCCCTCTCTCCCTCTTCCTATCTCTCTCCCTATGAATGAATGACCTGGACTTACAATGTCTTACAATGATGACCTTCTTTGTAGGTCCTTCTACTTCGACCGTTCCTTCGGCTGTTGCTACCTGAGTGAGAAGACGCGGTCCTCAGGATCATATGTCTCCTCAAGCTCACATGACTACCACGAAGTCAAGTCAGGTGAGACTCACTCACTCCTTCCGAAGTTTAAAAAAACGCATCTGACTTGAAACCAATTTTTTTTAAATCTCTAATACAAGTATTAACATCATTGGTTTTATGAAGCAAGATTAAACTGTAATTTCCCTCACAAGAAAATGGACTTACCTAACTCCAGTCTTTGTCAAGGAATGAGTTGTACAGTCGAAAATTTGGGAATTACAGTTTAAACTTGCTTCATAATGACTTCTACCAACGCAGATAAACTTTCAAGATATGGTTATACTTTGCAAGCAATGACTATTTGACTTACGACAACCATGGTACATTGACTATTAGTACGGAGTTACTTGAATTGAGATAGACATTTTATATCCTTTTAGTTAACTTTGTTTCTTAAAGCATCACTTTCCACTACTTCAGGCGTTCTGTCCGACTATTTCGAGGTCCAGAGACACCACCAACTCGCCAACAACAACGACCTGGTGCTGTGCAGCGTGACTGTCGACGACTGCTACCAACGGTGTCTTCAAGAAACCTCCTTCACCTGCAAGTCTTTCGACTTCACTCACTCTTGGGGGTATGTTTCCTTAGATGTATAGAATATCGTTTAACGACGTTAAACGGTACCTGTCTTCAAGTTAAAACCTTTGATAAAACGCCAAAAATTCTCTCACCTAGAGCTTTCGACCAGTCACTCTGGTCTTCCTCAGTAGACTGACCCAGTGAAGCTTGTCACGTGGCTTCTTTGAAGTGTGACGTCAACACTGGGTCAAAGGTATCCGGTAGACGATGTCGGCCACCGTCGCGGTTCAATGTAGGGTGATGGGCCCTGATGTATATGGCTTCCTTCACCCCTCTCAGGAAATAGTCTTGTTCAGTGTCTAAAATCCTTACAGTGTCAAGTGAAACAAAATGTCCGGGTGACTCTATGTGGATGTGCTGAAACACCTCTGAACTGGCAGAGCTAGACCGTGATCTCTCTGTTTCCCCAATGTACGTTTCCTGGCAGTACCTGTCTTCATTCAATTGTGTCAGATATTTTCCTAAAAGTCAAACTCAACCGATTTCGTATCCAGGGCCACATATCGAGCACCTCTATCAGAAATTATGAGTGCAAATACTTGAGACACAAGTTACAGCAGTATTCTATGATATATGTTTATGTTCATGTTCTGTACCCATGCGACCTGCACTTAGTTCTGTAGAACACAAATGTACAATAAAAGTCTTCATTCAATAATTATGATATGAACTTTACATTGCACAGACGGGATCGGTCTTCTGTTGCAAAGTAAATACTCAGATGTTGCTGTTTTAAATCGTTTAACCGAAGTTTTTTTTTTCACCTTTGAGTAGATGTTGCTATTTGAGCTCCGCTGACCGAACAACTGCATCCTCAAGTTATCAGTCCGCCAGCGGAATTGACTACTACCAAGTAAAGACTGGCAAGTATCCATCGAAGACCATACAATCTGATTAAATGAATGACTTTATTTCAGGTTATCCCCATAGTACAAACATAAAAACCACAGAAACACTAAACATACAACAATTTATACACATTTTTAAAATACGTTTTTCTGAACTGACACTCAGACCTCAATAGACAGCATATAATACTATTGTTAGTGGTGTAAAGTCTATTAATGAAGGAACAACACAATTTCCTGCGTCTAGCATCGAATGTATCGATCGAGAGGTGTACAAACATTGAACTAGCACTACAACCTCTTGGCAACTTAAGGAGAATACGAAAGCAATTATTGTATGCAACACGACACTTAGCTAGTACACTCGCATGAACAGAGTTCCATAACCTTTAGTTTAGTTTAGTGCTAATAATAATGTATTACATACATGTAAAGCAGCGTCGTGTGGTAATGTTCATCTTTCCCAAAATGTGACGAACAAGACTTGTACTTAAAACAACTAAGAACTAGAGATCCGCTAGATCGTATCATGCGCAACCATTCGCAGCTTCTTGTTGACATACAAACACACATACTTACACAACCCATTGCAGTACCGTAGGAAAACGCCAGGTGAACCATTTTCAAACTTAACCTTTGTTTCTTTAACTGCTACTCACCTACCAAATATCACAAAGATCCATCCACAGTAGACATACAAAACCATACAACAGCCACTGCACCATGGTGCAACCGAAAACATAACCTTCCTGTCGAAGGTAATAAACTTTAATGGATACCAATGAAGTAACATACTCGAGATTAAAGGTGATTTTGCAACTACAGGAATGTGCGTACCAGACTTAGGCCACAACAAGTAATTTTTATGGATGACATCAGCGCGCGCATTAATTTTCGCCTGATTTTTGAAGGAAAAGGACATTTTTTTTGCCTTTTGACAGTGGTCAACATGCCAAAAATGGGCAAAGATGTCTGTTGCCATGCCGGAAGGTGGATGTCAGATATTATGAAGAGAGGAGACAAGAAAAGACTCTGATTTAATGTTTTGTTTCTTACTTCGATGCAGTGATCTGTGATGCTGGCTGTGTATATATGTAATGCTCCTACTGAATCAAAACCATTTGTATAATGATTGAGTCAAAATTTTAAATTGCAGGAACCTTGTTTTTTTCGGCCCGCCTTGTTTTCTTTTCGCCCGCTCGCATTAGATTTGGAGTCTGCGGAGGATGTCATCCATAAAATTTACTTGTTGTGGCCTTAATAAGATTTTCTGCATTTCTTCATCCTTCTAATGTGTTCTCAGGTTACCGTTGGCGCCCTGACGGACGGTGCGGGCACGGGTACTCGGCAGACCTGGCGAACCCTGCCGAGTGCGACCCCGATGGAGACTACTGCTGCGTCAGCACCAGGTGCCAGACGGGGACGTGTAGCAGCGGGGCCGATTATCGTGAGTTGTCGTTCACAGGTTGACAGTATGAGGGCGCAATTGCAGCGCGGAAACTTGTACATGCTTATAAACCTGCATTTCTCCTGCAGTCTCTTAGTATCACCGACGAAAGGTAATGGATGCTACCTGAAGCGTCTGACTGTTACCAAAATCATATCCAGTTGCTTGAGTAACTGTATTTTGTCGTATCTGATTACCTTGATGTCCAACCTTCAGCGATGTGTGTTGAATCACTTCCTTTTTATTCATTGCAGTCAATATTACTACAACAAAAGAAATTTTCTACCATGGTCATGTCATAGACAGTGGGTTGATAAGAACTTTATTGCACGACAATTTCACAAGGTACAATGTATGGAAAACTACATAAAGAGAGTAACAAACAATAAAATGTGTTGAACAAGACCTAATTTCGAATAAAACCTAACATATCTATATCATAATTATTCAAATAATAAGGGATAGCACAAGTCTTTGATAGAGTGTAACAATCGAGTGGGCTAATCACAAGTTTCGGAATTTTTTTCAAATAACAAAGCATTCCTTTATATATCTACCTATTTTTGCGTTGTGGGGACCACTACATGTTAAGATATATTCAAATCTGTCTCTAACATGGAGAGTATTGAAATCTATTGTACTTGATTCGAGAAATGTAAATAGCTTGTTACGTAAAACATCATATTTGGTACATTCCATAACAAAATGAAATTCATTTTCTATATGCTCACCAGTCACTTTAAACGGAAATGCCACTACGATACGTTTATGCTGTTTTTCATCAGGTGGGTGGAACAGATGCGGTGAGCGAGAGTGCACGTGCTCCACTAGCGACAAGAAAGTGAGCTGCAACAGCCACTCCCTGAGCTACGTTGACTTCTTCGTCCCAAGAAGCACAAGATATCTGTAAGATGTTCGATCATTGAGAAATAGATTGTACAAGGTATTGAAGTGCACATCTTAAAAGTAAGACTGTTGACATTCGTGATTTTACTTTTTTTCTGAGATGAAATTGTAATGCTTAATATTTAAGAAATAGAATAAGAATTATATATAATGTCCTTGTTGCAATTAAATGGTTCCTGACTATTTACAGAGATCTGAGGTCGAACGACCTTCATGGTGTTCCAGTGTCCACACTGGCCGGACTTGACGAACTCACCACACTGTAAGCTTTTAGTATTCATTAACCGTAAAGGAAGTATTGTTTTCGGTGTTAGTATGTGTGTTTGTGTTGAGTCTAATGGGAAATTGAGTCATTTGAGATTGAGTTTCACTGGTGTGATGGATTCAGGAACTTGATGAATGTATGGCGTCTAGAATTTAACTTACTGTATGACGCAGCCGTGGAAGGAAAGTTACTTCAGACAATCAAATGATAAGTAATAAGTAAGATGTAATTCAATCTCGTATTTCCCTGACCATAGCTCCACGGATACCTATGGCCAACGGAAGTCTGAAATCCCCGATTTCTTGTTTTACCGTTATCAGTATTTAATTGTCATCAGGTGCTTGAAAGCAATATCAGAGCGCTTATGTATTGACTGATTGCTGTTTTTTTCCTGTAGAGACTTGTCCGGTAACCACATCAGCACCTTGCCGTACGGACTCATGGACGACCTCAGAAGTCTTCAGACACTGTAAGCACAAGTTCGTCTTGTTTACCTCACTGCTAAAACTTATAGCTGGCATGGGACAATAACGGATATCTCCGCAACACGAGAGTTTGTATAGTAAAATGTTAAACTTTATTCCAACACACAATTTACAGAGATCAAATTTTCAGCGACCACTGTCGCCTTCATCAGGATAATTAATGACCAATCACTTCACAACGTGATCTCGCGAGAGTTACGGTTTACAAACACGTGACCTTATTCACACGAGACTTTACTGATACGTGACGTAAGCAATTGATCAAAAGTGCCAGGGAGTTTATATCGTCCACCATCTCTATTAAGTAAAGGCTGAAGTGCTCTGATATATATAGCCTCCTTAATGCCTCTTAGAAAGTAGTCCTGTTCAGTGTCCAGTATTCTAACTTTGTCCAGAGAGACTGTGTGGAATAAAGTTTAACGTTTTACTATGATTACTACCAACACAGATGAACTTTCATGATATAACGAGAGTTTGTAATCATTATTGAAGAGACCGGACTGGGCTTAATGGCAACAGCGTAAAGTTATAGTAAAGGTTTACATTTTTCGACGGTACCGTTGGTAAAATGGCATTGCTAAATGAACATGTTTTCTTTCAGGAAGCTGAACGGTAACCTGTTTACTAACTTTGCCATGGGAACAGTTCTGAACATACCCAGTCTGAGGAACTTGTAAGTCAAGTTTTATTACATTGTACAAGATTTTAGCAACCCTTATAGCTATATAATCTATGCCTTATACCTATGATTCCGACAGTTTCGTTTTGCACAAGACATGGCTTCTTTATGACAAAATTAAGGATTAGTGATCACCAATTACAGATCGAAATCGGTAGGTACAACCAGACTCCCGCAGACAGCAGAATTTGCACTCTATGTAACTACAACTGTATAGAAGATGAAGCACACTTTGTTTTAGAATGTGCGGTATATAGTGACATCCGGAAATCCTTTATTAGCTCCTTACAGTTAGAAAAGAAATTTGCATACTTGCCGAAAATAGAATTGTTCAAACATATTATGACATCCAAGCGCTATCATGATAAAATTGAAAAACTATGTAAATTTGTTCATACATGTTTCAAAAAGAGAGAAGATATCCTGTAGTTAGATCCTGTAGATAGAGAAATAGCACACGAATGTAACAATTGCTTCTTCTCTTCTTGTTACCAAGTTATTTAACTTGATTGCATTTGCCCCGTGTAGGGCGTGAACATCCAATAAAGTTCATTGTCATTTATACAAAATGTTACACAAATGTAATACTAAATGCTACCAGCGACAACCCAAAGTACTTAGCACTAGACTAAAATACGACTGAGCTATACGAGCTGATTTCTAATGAGGCCCAGGAAACAAAACATCATACAATGTGTAAAATCATCTGGAAAAATTTTACATAAGTACCATAACGTAGAGAAAACTGAAAACATAATGGGGAGAATATAACATAATGTAGTTAACAAAAGTAGCAAATTACAAGACAAAATCAAGTCGCAGACGCAGATCTAGTATCTCAGGCAGAAGTACCAGAAATGGTAAAAACCTTGATATTCCAAAGGCTAAAACACAGAGATACAGAAACTCACCAATACGCTACCTGACTCGATTGTTGAACCAGCATGACTTTTAATCTCACTCACTCACTCAAGTCCGCATGCTCCTAGAAGCGTAGCGCCCCGGCAAACTGTCCTCCAAGCACTTCTGTTCTGCGCCGCTGCCCAGGCTGTAGTTAGGTTGTAGCCCGCTGCTCTCAGGTCTGATGACAGGACATCCAGCCACTTCTGTCTGGGCCTGCCCCTGGGTCGGGTCCAGTTAGTAGGTGTGGGTTCCAGCAGTAGTCTGGCTGGTTCTGAGGGCGGAGATGATCTGGCGAGGTGGCCGAAGAGTCGGAGGCGGGCAGCTCGAATCTTCTGGGAGACTGGAGGCTGGTTTGTTGACCGGCGTAGGGCGATGTTGGTCACACGGTCATACCACCTAATCCCCAGAATCCTGCGCAAACATTTGGCATCGAAAGCATCTAAGTGCCGCTCCTGTGTGGACGTCAGAGTCCATGCTTCAGCACCATACAACAGGATGGAGAGGACTAGGCTGTTGTAGAGCCTGAGCTTGGTATGCACTGACAGCCGTCTGTCGGACCAGATCTTACTGAGGTTGGCCATCGCTGTGGCGGCCCGGGCAACACGGATCCTGATATCAGCCGAGCTTTTGCAGTCGGAGGTGATCGTGCTACCGAGGTAGTTGAACTTGTTGACAACCTCCACCTCATGGGAATCGATCACTGGGGGAGCAGGAGGCGGTTGGAAGTCGCTCAAGCTTTGGACCTTAGTCTTTCCCCAGCTAATCATCAGTCCGAGGGGTTGTGTCTCCAAGTTCATGGCTTCCAGGGCATGCTTGAGCACCTGTACTACTTCGGCAAGAATGGCTACATCATCCGCATAGTCCAGGTCGGAGATGGTGACGTTGCCAAAGCTTGCACCACAGCTGCTCTGGGATACTGTCTTTGCCATGACATGGTCAATGGCGGTGTTAAAGATGGTGGGAGCCTTTTAATCTGTAATTTATTTTTAATGCATTGTCAATGAGCGAATATTCTCTTACTGTCACGACCAATTCTTTGTATATATGACGCTCCTCTTTTATTGATTATTGTACTACATTTTAATCATACACTGTATTGTGCTATTGCACTACCTTTTAACCCTATATCGCCAACCATTATTTTGTACTTTTATGTAATATTGATCTTAATTCAGTGTACTCCACTGCAACATTAATAAAGCCAATCTGAATCTGATTCTGAAGTCATAATCCAGAACATTTTACTGTTGCCCGTTTACAGCTACCTGTCGTCTAGTACACGCGTCAGGTTCACGTGGTCCTACCAGCCCGAGTCGTTCCCAGGCGTGAGCTGCCCCGGGTCCAACTGTTACTCCTCCTGCGGGGACCCGAGTTACCTGAACGGGCCTCAGGACTGGAGCCGTCTGCAGTCACACCTGGTCATCAAGAAGCTGTACTTCGACCTGGCGGACCTGTTCTATTACGTCAGCGACGCCACGCAGTCGGTCACTATCTACGCTAACACCGTGGTGACGTCGGTTGGCGTAAGGTAAGTAGCATGTTTTCACTCACGCTTCAATTCACCAGTTTCCCATCCCCAGAATGCAATGCGAAAATAGGGGGGTAACCCTCATTTGCATAGGACTGAAGGCATCGGAATGATCCTGTTGACGTTAAACAGCTTGCTGTGTTTTGAGGTGTTGGGGCATTTTATTAACAACATTAATTAAATTAGTTTGGGCCGAATCTGACAACAAATAGAGAATGAAGTTTTAGTGTTCTTTTCAACATGGAACATGTGGTTTGTAACGTTACAGCATCAGTATAGCGTTACCACTATAACGTTACAAACCACATATTCCAAAAAAATTCATTCTCTATTTTTTTTCAGATTCAACCCATAGTAATTTAATTAATGTTGAGGATAAAATGCCCCAACACCTCAAAACACACTGAAAAGCAAGCTGTTTAACGTCAACAGGATTATTCCGATGCCTTCAAGTCCTATGCAAATGGGGGTTACCCCCCTTTTTTCGCATTGCATTCTGGGGATGGGAAACTGGTGAATTAGGTCTCTCCCACTCTTTTTCAAACGTCTTGTGAAATACATTTGCTTTACATTGTAAAAGTGACTGCTGGAATATAAGTTGTGCCTAACGTCGCAGTCACTTTGGGTCCTATATTCATCACTGTTTTTCTTAATAAAAAAAGGTAAGTAACGTACAAGGTCACGTGTTCAGGGAAATTTGGTAACTCAAACCTGAAGAAGGCCAAAGAGTCAGCTAAAAGTTTGAAAATTCCTTTGTGTTGAACATACACCATGTAAGAAAAAAGTAAGAAAACAATACATATGTATCCTCCAAAAAGGCCACCCGAAACCCAATAAACTAGGTAAAAAGAAACGTACTGCATTGATGTCGATCTCCCCATATGAAAGTTTTTTTTCTTATTTAAAATTTTCTTTTCAGCTTCAACTTCGACTTGACCATCAACGCGCGCGAGTTCTGGACGGATGACGGCTACCTGTCCTTCAGCCTGCCGAGCGGTCAGCACTCCGGTCCCATGGTCAGCTGTGGCAAACTGGACGACAACTGGCAGCAAATCAACATCAACATCGGCGGCCGGCTGAAGGTGAACGAGTTCGTCACTATTATGCCATTCTAGAGGCCACTTTGAAAAGAATCTTTCTATAAATGTCCATTGACTGACTTAGGGACGATCTGTAAGATTACGTTACTTCTAATATTTTATGAATATCGTTAATTTCTATCGACACGGTCACATTCAACGTAGGTCGTCGTAAGATTTTGATGACGTAGAAATTTCAAGCAGACTGTGACAGAGCCAGCACCGACAAGCATCTTTAAGACAGCCTTTTCCGTAACAAGACAGTTAAATTCTGCAGGACCCAAGCACGACTATCCCAAGACACAATTTTCATCTTACGACCAACGTGACTGGGCTCTAAACAACAAGATAGAGGCTACATAATTTTTTGGACAAAAGATGTATACTATTGTGAATTGTTCCAGATGTATACTATTGTAAATTGTTCACCTAGTGGTTTCTAATGCTCGCAAATCGTCTATGTGCGTCAAATTTCCGAGATTTTGAGATATTGTATAATGCGTCAAATTCCGAGATTTTGAGATATTGTATAATGCGTCAAATTCCGAGATTTTGAGATATTGTATAATGCGTCAAATTTCCGAGATTTTGAGATATTGTATAATGCGTCAAATTCCGAGATTTTGAGATATTGTATAATGTGTCGTCATGAGATCTTTTAAATCTTTTAAATTTGTTAATCTTGTGTAATTCAGTTACAGTATAACTACGCTTTTAATGTTGTACCCTATATAGTTAATGTTTTTAGTATGAATACCAACTGTTGTTAATGGAACCCCCACGCAATTCAGTCTGTGACTGCCATGTGGGAACCATTGTTAGGAGTTTTACATGAAACAAATAAACCATTATTATTATTATTATTATTATTATACGTTCTTCTTGCATGGGCACATATTATACATATACTATTGACACCATAGTTATTGTGGATCTCCTTCTTCTTTTAGGTGAACCTGGTAACGAACGAGTCCTACGCGATGCCGTACCCCTGTAGCCAGACGTCCAGCTCCGCCCTGACCGCCCAAGCCGACAAGGACGTGCTGGGTCTGACTGTCCAGTGTGCACGCATTCTGGCCGACAGTCATGACCTGAGCGATCCGCGCAGCCTGCCCATGCGCATGCTGGACTGGACCATTGCCCAGTCCCGCAGGGGTGGTGCCATAGGTGTAGTCCATTCTGACGCCGTGCAAGCAAAGGCACAACTCAAGGTAATCGAGGGGTCTAAGTTTAGAACGTATTGACATGTTATCATCTTTAACTAACATCCTGCCATTTGACATAAACAACGCCACCGACAACACCCTATGTTCAACCATTCTCAGCTGTAACCCCTCATTGTCGTTTGTCAACAACTGTAAAATATTTCATGTGGTTTTCAACTTTATTTTGCAGACAGGACGTTTTTTTTTATTTAGTTGATTAATTTTGATTTGTACATCAGCTCATAATGTACCTTTGTCCTTTCTTATCATCATCATTACTTTGTTTTATTGTTTCCTTTTATGTGTGAGGAGAGGGCTGACATAATATAAGTTTCATAGCTTTTTGCCCAATCCTAGAAAAATGAATGTGAATAAAGTAAATAAATAAGTTTAGTACGACAAAGAGGCAAACTGACTATTTTTATTACGGATTTTACTACTTTCCGAGTAGACGTCTGTCGGCAAAAGCGTTACGGTTAGAACTGATAATCTAGGGAGAGTTCTCAGCCGTCCAGTGGCTAATGGACACCCATCTGGACATTGGATCTGGACATAGGATCTGCTTGGACATTAGGATTTTACTTGTGTTAGAATGGCATAGCCACTTAAATATCTAATAGCATGTTGGTTGAAGTACATAACGTTATCTTGCTGTAATTTATATCATGCCGCCAGCTGCCTTAAGAAAACTAACTACTATTTTGTATGTTTCATCACACAGTTAGCAGGGGCTGGGTACCATTACGTACCGTACATGTCCATGGCTGTGTATCAGAACATGCTCAGTAACTACTACAGTCAGGTAAGTCCTAGACACATTTTTTTCAGCCACATATGGTAATCGTCTAGATATATATATGGTCTTTTTGAACGAATTTCCTATCGGTCTTCATCGGCCGATGAGTTTTTCCCATGTGTGACGTCAGCACTGGGTCAAAGTTCGTCAGAAGTCGGTACCGCCCACCATCCCGGTTGAGCGAAGGTTGGTGTGCCCTGATGTAGATGGCTTCCTTCACTCCTCTCGCAAAATAGTCGCGTTCAGTGTCCAGATTGTTGACCCCTTCCAGGGAAACTGTGTGGCCCGGACACTCCATGTGAAATAATAACTTCAATATTTACATAAGTGTCGTGATGTAATTTAACAACTCAGATGAACATTCATGCTAATCCCTTTACCTTATATTGCAGATCAACGTGTACCGTCAGGAGTATAACCGCCTGATGGACAGGACTCAGTCCATTAACATACGACTGGAGGCCGCACGGGCGCTGTTGTCACGTGTCAATGACGTCACGACCCTCCAGGCGCAGGACCTGGCCGATCTGGAGCAGGAGATCGAGCGCACCAAACAGACCAGGGTCGACATGAAGGTTCGCTTTGAGGAGTCTAAGGTATATATGTTCATGATACATTTAACAATCTAATTAACATTCTAATCCACACTTATACTATCATGCAAGTTCATCTGTGTTTGTAGTTACATGTTTAAAGTTAAAACTTTTGATCCAACACTTCTCTCACTTACCCTATACCTTACTGACAATATACTTCTCTCACCTAGAGCTTTTGACCAGTCACTCTGGTCGTCCTCAATAGGCAGACCCAATGAGGGTTGACAGGTGGATTCTTTGAAGTGTGACGTGCACACTTACAGCCAATTCAAAACACCATTCGATGACAGGATACCTGTTACCTATAGAAGTATTGTAACAGTGTGATTCAAGAGCCACCAACTAACGGATCCAAACCTTTTGGCCCAGCGGTTAGTGCGTTAGGTTCGTGAGCTGGCGGTCCGGGCTAGGTTTCGATTCCGAGATCTCGTGTTTTCTCCTCGCCTCTATTTATTTCAGTGGTTCCAGTGCTGGGAATCGAACCCGGGCCTGGCTGGATTTTAAGCCAGAAATCCTAACGACTATACCACATAAGCCAAAAAAAGTTACTCAAGCAACTGGATATGACTTTTCCAAAATCATATCCAGTTGCTTGAGTAACTATTTTTTAATCTTATCTTACCTGGATGTCCAACCTTCACCAACGTACGTAAACCACCTAAGATCAATTTTAACTTCACTTTGTAGGTGGCTCTTGACGACGCACGGCTCGCCTTCGAGGAAGGAATCGAGCAGTACAAGCAGGAGCAAGCCGCGAAGGCCGCCTTCGGCTTCCTCAGGGCCATCCTCTCCATCTTCACGCTGGGAGCTCAGCCTCCGGAAGACGACTCAGTCGCGGACATCCAAGAACTGATCGGCGCGGTGGTCGACATCGCCAACACCATCAAGATGCTGTCTGCACTGTTTGACCAACTGGCCGACTTCGACGCGATTCTCGATGAAACCATGGCGGCGGTGGAGGACTTGTCACTGGCGGAGTACGAGGACTACATCTTGGATGTCCAACAGGTTACTGTTATAAGTTTGCATCTTCGTTATAGATAAGAACTTCATTCAAATATCGCATTTACAACATTGACGTCCTATCCGGTTTATCCATCATATCCACCATATTACGTTACTTGATAATCATTTGTTCTTATCTAATAATAATCATGATTATATTTTTTAATATCATTTGTACTATTCATCAATTTCTATTATGATGTAGAATGTATCATAATTTATTTTGTCGGGGGAAGATCGTGGACAGGCCATAACGGCTTTTTATCTTCCCTGCATATCTGCCTTTATGTTATGTTATGTTATGTTATGTTATGTTATGTTATGTTATGTTATGTTATGTTATGTTATGTTATGTTATGTTATGTTATGTTATGTTATGTTATGTTATGTTACGTTATGTTATGTTACGTTATGCTATGTTACGTTATGCTATGTTACGTTATGTTATGTTATGTTATGTTACGTTATGTTATGTTATGTTATGTTACGTTATGTTATGTTATGTTATGTTACGTTACGTTATGTTACGTTACGTTACGTTACGTTACGTTACGTCATGTTATGTTATGTTACATTACATTACGTTACGTTACGTTATGTTAATTCTATTTCTTTGATTATATGCCAATAAACAAACAGGCTGCGGACCTGCACGTGTCGCTGGTGGAGTGGAGTAACCTGAAGGTGGCCGCGGACGTGCTGCTCGGACACGGCAACGTGCAGAAGATCCGGGGCTCCGGGAAGTACCGGCGCGCGCTGTCGGACACCAGTCAGTGGGGGAAGGCCGTGAGCGAGCAGACCATCGCCCTGGCACAGATGATGGTGCAGTACCAGAGCGGGCAGCGCTGGCTGAAGGCATCCGAGCGGGAGAGAGACCGCATCCAGGCGCAAATCTCTCTTGACGAGAGTCGGAGGGAGATCAGTCTGGAGACAGAAGCTGCGGCGGGGATGCAAGCCTTCCAGGTATGTTTCTCGCGATCTCTTATTCAGATCCGTCTCTTCCCTATCTTTTCAGTCACTGACGAAAGCTAGTGGATACTAGCTGAAACGTCTGACCGTTTCCAAAATCATATCCAACATTCTATTAGCTTAATTCCTGCCATACTTCTTGATTTGATTTATTCAAGTGTTGCTTATCTTCTTCATTAGTTTATCTTGCTATAATTTTGTTTTTAACTGTATGATGGTTACTTATGTACGATTTGTTGATATTTTCTCTTTAGTTGCCTTGTTTTCATTTAAATATTTCATTTAATCAGTTTAAGTGTGATTGTTTTGTTATGTTTAAGGAGAAGGACTTGTACAAGCCTTTAAGGCTTCTTCCTCTCCTGCTCAGTGTTTTTTATTTAATTTACTTCACTAATTGTATCTTGTTTTTTGTGCGAAATAAATCAATACAAAACAAAAATAAAAATATCCAGTTGCTTGAGTGACTGCTTTTTGGCGTATCGTATTACCTGGATGTCTAACGTACCTTCATCGACCTATGCATGAATGGGTTAAGGTAAGTATCACTATCAGGCACGGTTGTGGATAACGTACGCGTGTCCAAGAACGTAGATTTCCCCCAGGTATGGATATGCTTGGACTATTCAAAACAGTGCCGGAACACGGTTCAGGATACAACAAAGTTTGTCAAGTTTGGCACTGGGGATGTTGTTGATGCAACATTTTCTTTCAGGCACTTTGCCTTTTATATGTACTAGCTACACTAGCACTTTGCCTTTTATATGTACTAGCTACACTAGCACTTTGCCTTTTATATGTACTAGCTACACTAGCACTTTGCCTTTTATATGTACTAGCTACACTAGCACTTTGCCTTTTATATGTACTAGCTACAGATTTTTAAACAATCATTACTGCTAGGACTAGCCACTAGATGTCTAAATTACTATACCCTCTCTATATAACCCATTGTTACCGGTGCTAACAATTGCGTTTGCTGCTTTTCCAGGTGAAACTGGGCATGAACAACATCCTACTGGACTACTGCGGCTCGTACTTCTACTTCCAGTTCCGGCAGTGCGGCAGTAACTACAGACCCAGCCTGAGCGATGACATGCTTACTCTGCTACAAAAGGTACATCAATAATAATATGAATCTTTATTTGCATGTTCATGCCCATGGGGCTAAATGCATACATGCATCAGAATGTGATGTTACATGTACTGAGTAACATGATACATAGGATACAATGATAACAGAATGACGTAAAAGTCTTAACAACTACTAGAGAATAAACTAATCTAGGCCTTGAGGATTTCTTCTCTCTTTTTGAAGCAATTGGAGATAAACTCACATAGTTTTTCTATTGTATGGTCATTACTGGTGGACATGAGATGGCTGAATACCTCTTTCCTTGTTCTACCTTTATACAGTTTGTCTAAGTGGATTGTTCTAAATAGTGTGTCACGTTAATATCAAACAATTTACAATCAAGTACAAAATGTATTTCATCTTCTACGCTACCAGAGTTACAAACCTTAGTCTATCTTCTACAGGAGTCCGGTTATGTCTGCCGGTTTCTATGTGTACATTATGGTCACTAATTCGTAATTTTGATATGGTTCAATAATATCCATTTAAAATTGTGTGTGCACAGCTATTGATGCCAAAGAAAAATTACAATGAATTTGATATCTTAGCTAAGACCTGATGTTTTGGTGACACTCCAATGATGAGAAAAATATGATGTTACAAACAAGTTCCACCTATTTCATGACCACCATAACGAAGCAGACGTTTGTTTTCACATCATTAGATCAACAACGCCAACCGTGACGCCCAGGCCAGCCTAGGCAGCTTCACCAGAGTGCCACAACCCTTCGACGATATTCAGATCAACCTGTCTGACTCGGTACGACTTCTTTTACTATGGTTCAATGGAAGTTCCGCTTTAAAATGGTTTCTAGATCTGCTATTTGTTTGCTTATTCTAACAAAGGTGACTCTAGGTATAATTAGCTTCATCTACTTTGTTTAATCTCTACATAAGATAATACATGTACGCCTTTTACATTACTTGTAGCGTCACTTATAAAGGCTACTTTATAATTTAAGACAACCGATACCTTTTGGTAATAAAGCATGTTCTTAGGCCTATCGACACCATCTATGTTATCTAATGTTTACCAAGTTGATGCTTGAAATTAGAAGCCAAGAATATGAAATTAACTTTGTACATATGTATAACATATTTCCTCTGTAGATTAACGCCGATGACTGCCAGGGTATCGACAGATGTCCGATCGACCAGCTGAAACAGACAGGTTCTCTCAGCTTCACCCTGGACATGAGCGACCCTACCTTCAGCGGCTGGGACCGCGTCAGGATAGAGAGGATCCGGGCGTACATCAGAGGTATTTTAATAGAAAACTACCCTGCACGAGAGATTATGTAAATATTGTACAATGAATGCAGTGGAAAATGAAATACATTTTGTTAGCCAGTGTCCTCACTATGAGACCGAAAGAAACAGATTATTTCAGACAGTTACAACAATTTCTCCATCCTTTCGTCATTTAGAAGATCACCAAAAAACTTCATTTCTACTAAGATCACAAAACCCACTAATTATGCAGAATGTGGGACTATTCATTATCCACTGCCTTCAAAGAAGAAGTCGAACCCCATAATAGCTAGCGTAGTAGTAGAAGTTTTTTTTCCAGACAGTTGTTACCTGTCTCCTGTTACTGTATTGCAATGAGTATTATACTTGATTGTAAAAGCAATTAGCCTTCGGGCATGATCTTGCGAATAAAGTTTAATTTTTCCCAAAATGTAATCACAAGACGCGGTGACGGCACACTCAAGTCTTTTCAACTTATTTTTATGCCGTCATCAACACGGAGGACAATACAATACTCATTTTCACCCGAGTAAAATCGTGTAATGTTCCTTTCCTAAGGACACAAATTCGGTGGCATGGCAGGGTTCGAACACCCTACCGTTATGCCACATGACCCCACAAGAGATATTTGTCATCCTTGGTCATCCATGCTAATGATAAACTCTCCAAGAAGAGGTTTAGGCTTTGCTTGGGTTTGTTTTTGACCTTCCATCAGGCTTTCTTTTTTTACACTGGTATCATTTTGTCAGTACGTGAGCCAAACGGATACTGTCTTGCCAATTTGATACTGTCTTGCATCCACAGAAAGATCTTCCTGCGGATTATTAATGAATGATAACCTTTATTGTACATTCATGCCATATGTTTGTAGTACAAACAGCTCTAAAACTACTCTAATACAGAGGTTCGGCGTCTTCTCGTTTCTTTGTGATGTTAAAAATATAATTTGAAATGGGTTTGTATAATACAGGATGATCAAAGCGCATAAGAAAGATAAATTTTCAATATTAGGCAAGTATTGGAAGTATGGGAACGTACTTGTAATATATCTAAAAAGATTATTTCTTTCATTACTATATAAACTACAATCAATAACAAAGTGGACTTCATCTTCTACTTTGAGCTACAAAATTGGAAAATTCTTTGCTCCAGATCTAGAGGTGTGCGGTTGTGCTTTGATATATGCTTCGTACACGAGTTTCCAACCGATGTGAGAATCGATCGGGGTACGTTGCATCCAGACTGGGGCTTACATGTACGATAGGGGTCTAGACACGTGTCAATGAGCTAGGTGGCAGCTCTATAACTGCTGAAGAATCAAGAAAAGTTGTTAGTCGGACAATATATAACTCTTCGTTGCTTCCACCAGGTGCCGACAACACCGGCAGTCACCTGCGTGTGTCCATCAGTAACAGTGGAGAGTTCCAGGATCGCTACCAGGGCACGGACTACGAGTTCGCCAGCCTGCCTGTCAAGAGGCGGTTCGAGTACAACCCTAACGGTGAGTCAAACTACCAATACAAAAATAACAAAGGCCAGTAATCAGGAGAAAATCATATCATATTTTTGCTCTGTTTCTTCTTCTCCAAATAAGGTCGATGACCTGAACCAGACGGCTGTGACTTTAGTGTTGGGTTACATCATGTTGCAATTTTATAGCAGGAGGGATTTAGACTCCTGTCACCATATATATATGAATGTGTTTGAGTAAGAATTAACAGAGCAGACCATATGTGAAGGTAAACTTTATGCATTTGCTTTGCAAATGTTACCTTTCTAGTTATATTTAACTTCGCTGCAGGATCTCAAGGAAAACGTATTGCTTTTGCTCTGTTTCTTCTTCCTCCCCAAGCAAATACTGTCAATGACCTGGACCAGACGTCTGTCACCATGGTAACTGGAACTGTAGCAAACACCCTGTGGTGTTGGGTTACATCATGTAGCAAAGTGCCAGTACTGAGTTAGAGGACCTGGCCATCACATACAAATGCATATACATGTACATGTGTTTGAGTAAGAATAGACATCAGACAATAGCATCAGTTTGTTAGGCTTGACCATATGTGATGGTAAGAGTTATGCATTTGCTTTGCAAATGTTAACTGTTTGATACTGTATTATTGTATTTATGATTAGTACTGAACTTCTGACACTTCACTCCTTTCGAACACTGACCGATTATGATTTAAGCATTTTTTGTTATTTCTTTGATTTGTATACGATTATTTGATTTATGATTTATTACTATTATGTTCAAGTACTTTATTATATATGATCTACTATTCCTAAGTTTGTATATTATTTGGAGTTTGACCTCTGACATCTCACCTCTGACAGACCTTGTATTTTGATTTATGATTTCACTGTTACGTTTAATCACTATTATTTTATATTACCTTATTTTCTGTATTGAGCTCCCTTTGGAAATCAAGATGTGTCTTCAAGATGAATAAATAAATAAATAAAAGAAGTTGGTTTCTTGTAAGTTTTTATGGTTTGTGTAGTTTTTACGTATATACAGCAATGACATTTTCCTTCACTCCAGGACTTCCTGGGAGTGACATCATCGTGGATGGAGAAGTACATCAGAGTTTCACGGGTTACTTCTACCAGACCACTCCCTTCACCACCTGGGTCATCCAGCTGCTGCCCAGCCTGAACCCAGGCCTGGACCTGAGCCGGGTCACACAGGTCGAACTCCACTTCAAGGGCAGTGTGGTGACCAACTACAGGGGTGTGGAGATCCCAAAGAACCTTGTAATTAACCTGTGAGGCTCACCCAAGCAGGTCAAACAGAAGCTTACAATGATGTCAAATGAAAGATAATAAACTATGTTGATACCTTCTTTCTGTTGTGGATTACTTAGTATAGGGCCACAGCAAGTAAATTTTATGGATGACATCCTCTGCAGACTCCAAATCTAATGCGAGCGGGCGAAAAAAAAACAAGGCGGGCCGAAAAAAACAAGGTTCTTACGTTTTAGAATTTTGACTCAATCAGTGTACAAATGGTATTATTTCAGTAGGAACATCACATATACACAGCCAGCATCACATATCACTGCATCAAAGTAAGAAACAAAACATTAAATCAGAGCCTTTTCTTGTCTCCTCTCTTCATAGTTATCTGTCATCCACCTTCTGGCATGGCAACAGACATCTTTGCCCATTTTCGGCATGTTGAGTCAGAAGGCAACAAAATTTTTTTTTCCAAAATCAGGTGAGAATTAATGCGTGCGCTGATGTCTTCCATAAAAATTACTTGCTGTGGCCTAGTAATGTAGAGGTCTTTCTCGTTCAGCAAGTTAATTGTATATAGGAGGATTTTAAATTTTCACCGATGGCATTCACCATTTTTGTTCAGCTGCAAACCCTGTTTAACTTAACCAGACTAGACATAAATTGTAATACTAAAACAAAGAAACAAGTCAAAAAGTTTTTAACAAACAAAATCAGAGTCAGTAGGCATTCACTTCCTTTATCATAGGTTGTGCAAGTCATGACAGATTTCTTTCTCCTGTCATATGTATTATACTGGATTATACTTGTGGTGTCTTTCCTCAAAGTAGGAACAAAACTCCTAAGCAAGATAACATGATGATAAGGATATGGATTATACAGAGAAAAATTACAGCACATCTTCTAGTAAGCTAGTTATGTTGGAATGTTTTTTTCTTCATCAAAAATACACATCTGGGAACTTTTTCTTGTTGTATTATACCACACATACATAACAATTTGTTGATGTTTTTAACTTTTAAGTTTACGTAAGCATTTTCTGGGTTAAATGACTGCAGGAAAATATTGCACTTGCATGGAGAAGCAGTCCAAGGTCTGGAACCATGATCACTGATATACATGGACCATATATATTAGCTACACCTTATAGCCTATTGCTTTCCCAGGTCTAAATTGTAAAGAATTGCTGTGGCATTAATATGGCGCTTACATACCAAGCAACATTCAATAAGGCAATGATTGATTGTTAATTGTGTCTCATTTTTAGGAGTGTCTGCAAATGTTCAGAATCATGATTATGCATCAGGAAAGCAAGGCAGCATGTGAACCATCTGAGTATCTGCTTGGATATCAGCATGTACAGGGGTGCCAGAGTATACAGTGCAATTTTACGGAATACATTACAAGTTTACTAGTATACAGTGCAATTTTACGGAATACAGTGCAATCGTATTAGTATACAGTGCAATTTTACGGAATACAGTGCAATCGTATTAGTACACAGTGCAATTTTACGGAATACAGTGCAATTTTACTAATGACGTTGTTATGACGTCATTAGCTTTCCAGGGACGCCGCTGACGGAGCGTACTCACATCTTTCCGTGCTTTTCGAGTGAATTTGGACCTTTCTCGTAGATAGACCTTTAGTCAAATCACTACATACTACACACAGGGCATGTTACTACACAGGGATCATTTCGAATTTGCTCAGAAAAGACAGAAATATGTGAGTCAGCGACGTCCGCCATCTTAAAAATGAAAAAGCAGGGAAAGCCAGGTCCAAGTCCATGATTCAACGTCATTAGTAAAATTGCACTGTATTCCGTAAAATTGCACTGTATTCCGTAAAATTGCACTGTATACTAGTAAAATTGCACTGTATTCCGTAAAATTGCACTGAATACTCTGGCACCCCTGTTGTACCATTACTGTTAGGACTGTCAGTGGTGTAATGTCCTTATATGGCACCCTGGCAGTGTTCCGGCTGCAGTGGTACCAGGCCGGAGTAGAAGTGGTAGTACCCCCACAGTACCACTGGTACCACCGACACCACCACTGCCAGCCACGGGCTCCAGACTCCAGTGGTAGGCCTTTAAAAACCAAAATACATATTAAAATCCCAGTGAAATTTTAAAAAAATAATTATGTACGAAACAGGGTAGCCCTACCAAAATAAAAGATATTTGTACCATTTACTACAGTAGGGCACTGTTTATAGTCTTCATTACCAATAGTAGATTACCAATAATAGTACATAACCAATAATAGATATCGAAATGTACGCAAGGTAAGAGACATTACTGGCTGTGTAAAAGAAAATGCCAATATCCAGTATGTAAAACTTTAATCAACAACATCAAGAACAAAGTAACAACAAAAATGAAAACTAAGTGATCCCACCATACTTACTTCTGGGTTGTGATAAGCAGCCAAGCTATCACAAGCAGTAGACCTCCAAGCTCTCTGTAGAAGGAATAATTAAATAGATTAAGCCTTTATTCTACATCCATGCCCTATTGGGCTACTTACACACAGGCATACACTCGAGTATGCCTGTGCATACACCCGACAACATCCAAGAATGGACAGGAAAAAACCCTTCGGAAACCCTAACCCTAGCTCACAGCCGAGAGGGATGGCGGCAGATGGTCAGACACTCCACCATGCAGTGCCCCCACGACCCTGACCTGGGTTAAGGGACCAAGGTACAAGGTACAAGGTATACACTCGAGTACTCAGATACAAAAGCAGTACTACATCAGTACATGTGGTAAAACTTGATAAATATACAATGCAGTAATGAAGACAAAGGCAATCTTTCCCTGCCCAATGCTTACCTGCCCTCTTCACTGTCTAACAAGTGTGCCAGCTGCAGGGATGTCATGTCAGACACCAGTTTTCCGGCTGCAGCTACACAGGCCAACAGGTGGGCACCTGCCAGCGCCTGCACAGGTCTTTTCTCTAGGAATGAGCAACAATTTCAGATACATGAAGGGTATTCATGCCATTCAAATTAAGGATCTGAAGCTTTCTTGTACAAAAATTCTCCTCTTTTCACTGATGACATTGTTCTAAATGCATTTACTATAGTCACTTCTGTTATTTACAGTAGCTTTCCATGTTGAAGTCGTTGTTTAACTTCTGTTGTACGTACAATAAAATGATAGTTATGCAAATCAGCAGCTAATTAGCATAATTAATGAGGAAATGCTATAAATCTGCTACCTTCCATGATATGATTATTCAAACGTGTGGCATGTGTAATTGTGAAGAAGAAGAACATTAGCAGGTAGTGTTTATGCAAATGAATGCTTAATTTGCATAATTAATGCGAGTCGTCAACATTTGTCATGGCCCAAGGTAACATCATTTGGCGAAGGTATGGGATCGTGGAACACAAGTTAGGATTTCTTCCGTCAGCAGCACTTGTGTACTCTAGTATGTACTCCAAGAGTTTATGGATGGATTGTCATGAAACTTGGCTGGTGGCATGGGTAGTCTTGATGAGACCTTGAAAAAATTAGATTCTAGCTCTCTAGCAGCTTGTTATGGTACTGCAGCTCAATCTTACCCGAGTTTTCTGACATGGCTGTTGTCAGACATACCACTGTAGGGACTCCATAGGCAACCTGAGGGACAACAGTCATACTGTATCATGAAAAAAAGAATAGTCATAACTAGTTCAAAACACAAAATAGAAAACTTACATATCATTTAATTAGCTGATATTTAGTTTTATAGGAATTTTACTTGGTAAATTACAGAAAATAACAAACATCTTACCATCCAGAGCTCTGGATCTGGGTCGTTCTTCTGCAAAGACAGTTTGGAAATTGACTTTGTTTAAGATATTGTTAATATCTACTATAGTACTAACGTTAACATTAATTAAGCAAGCAACAAAAGATCAACCTCAGATTTAAGTCAGGTCATTTTACACTTTCCAGCGATATCCATGACTAATTTGTAAAGTCAAACTGGAGTAAAAACCCTATTCCCTGGTTCTGGACCAAATTATGTCACTGAAGGTAAGTTTCGGGCACAAATAGTCTGACGAAAAAGTTGAACTTTTTGTCAGACTATAAAAGTTACCTGGACATAGGTTGCCAATCCAAAGAAAGCGGCAAATACCAAGTTAGCTGCACGCCACAGTGTCTGCTGAACCATTTTAGCTCTCAAAGTCACACTAAACTGTTCTCAAAACCGTGAAATCCTGAAGTTTTGGTCCAAAACTTTTCTGTACACCACTTTCTAAGTTTCTTCCTGGTTTCCTGTTTCTTTTCTTCTGCGCAGTTTGTTAACCGCTGACCTTTGACATCTCCCACTATGCGTAGCGACAAGATGGCGGCGCCCAGGTGAAAATTGACGCGGCATGGTTTCAGCGTTTGGTTAAAACCTTTCAGAAGAAGTACTGTAAGTTTTTCTAAGCTCAATGTAGACTTGAATATAATGGTCAGCTTAGGAAATCATTAAACTGCTGGAAATATAGATTATTATATTGTATTCGAGCCAGGCGTAAGGCTATTCAAAAAGTTGGGTAGGGGGGGCACAACTTAATTGCAAGATTTGTCCAAAGTTTTCGGTAACATTTGGACTGGTGGGGTGGGGTCAGAATATTTGACTGAAGGCTACCGAGGTTGTAGACCAGATAAAATGGCAGAAAAGTAGCTACTAGAACCTAAGAAGGGACGCTATGTTATGCAGTGCGGTGGCGACTGTTTATATATACCGAGGTGAGAGCCTTCTCTAACATACATAGCTAACAGTCTTATTATTTTAGCCCAAAGGCCCCGTACTAAGTTATTATATAGTCTGTATGGACATAATATTAACACTGAAAGCTAGAGATGCCCCGCAACGGACTGCCGTATCGTATATCATACATAGATCAATAGATGGATTGATAAGAAATATGTACAATATTATGTGCAATCAAGTTTTACAGATATCAAATCTTATGCCACTATAGTAGTCTTTAACTTCACTACACTGTACTGCAAAAGAATTATCCATAAATGGACCTTAAAATATTGATTATAGAACTAGAAAGGTAACATTTGCAAAGCAAAATGCATAATGTTTACCTTCACATGTGGTCTACTATGTTAATTCTTACTCAAATACATTCATATATATGGTCAGACAGGAGCCTAAATTTCTCTTACTATAAACTTGCAACATGATGAAACCCAACACCAGTTACCATGGTGACAGACGTCAACAAATCAGGTCATTGGCCAGCTCAGGTCAGAGGTTAGTGTTTGGAACAGAAGAAGAAATTGAGTAAGAACAATATGTTTTCCTTCGGTAAACATAACAAAAGTACTAGTAATCTTACATCATACTGTTTCCTACCACAGCTCCTGCATTGAAGATTCCAAGCAGTCAGCTTGTAACCAACATGGAGGACCCAACACTTATATATCTACAACAACTCAGGGACAAGTTAGAGGCTTTCAATGATGTGCCAGGCCCCGCAAGACTTCTCCTACAATGTCTTCAGAACAACAACTCACCACAGCAAGCCATCATGCTGAAAACTCTCGCTGTGGGAGCAAAATTGAGGGAAGCAGCGTCTGATGCTACACTACAGTCCCAGGCACTTGTCTGTGTAGATGTCCTTGTCAGTATGTACCTACAGTGTACCGTACACTCTTCCCTTCGCGGCACTCTAGTCAGTACGTTACAAGGTTTACCAACTGAGTTAAAAACACAGGCAGTTGAGAAGCTCTCTGTTAAGATCAATGGGTTATTGGTAGTTCCATCTGTAAGGTTGAGATACAGTATAAATATTTTGGGTCTATTGCTAGAAAACTTCTCATTGGGTGCAGCGGTTGTTGCAAAGAATCTGCCATCTGTTCTAAACTTTGTTAAGAAGAGTCTTGAAGTCTTGTTGGTGGATGCTAAAGATGCAGAAACAGCAAAGTCTTCTCAGGCAATGCAGGATTGCACCACAGTCCTAAAGCTACTGACAGCCCTGCTACAGAAATGTCAAGCCGACATCTTGGCTCTGATTACTACAGACCATGATAGTCATGAGAGCTCCCTACTGGCTGACATAGCATGTATACTGCATGCCATCTTGCAGTTTGACTGGGTACTGCAGGCTTGTCACAGCTCAGCTGGCATTGCCTTACCAGCTACAATCAGAACTCTATTGCTAAATGATAATGAAGCAACAGTCAAGGCAATCTTTGTCCTTCTATATCCAAACCATTCCAGTGAGTTTGTAAATGATGCCAAGCTAAAACCTCTCAAAACATTCCTACAAAGTTGTGGTGACGACAGTCTTCCAAGTTTTTCACATCTCTGTCTTTGTAAAGGTATCTTGGCTAAGCTTAGTCCAGAGATGCTATCCATGACACTTGAAACGAGATGTTTGCTGTTTGACGTAATCCTCCCAGACATTCTCAGACTATGCAACAAACTGTCGGATTCTACTTCAGTTCTGCATGGCTCTTATGCCCTTACAGTTTGGTCAGCTAAGGCTCTGGAACTTGCTAAAAGTCCAATGGAAGGAAACACACATAAACAGCTGACACTACCCTCTCCTCCAATGCAGCAAGTGCTAGGCTATGTTTGGCAGCATTGGGATCACCCATTGGATGGTGTTCGACATCAGTGCCGAGAAATCTTCAGAAACATACTGAAGTGTCATGTAAAGGTTTCTGACAGTCCTGTGGGAGATGATTCTGATTTGTTGGACCTTACTAAGAAGGTTCTCAGTGAGGACTGGCACAAACGTGGAAAATACGTAGCCCTGTGTTGCCTAACAGAAGAGATAGGAGCGCAGAAGATCCTCCATCTCTGTCCTCAGATTGTGACTCGACTACTTGTACTAATGAGTTCTGAAGCCGTGACGGCATCGGTACATGCCAAAGAACTGCACGGTAAGCTGTCAAAGTCTCACAAGGATGAACTCACAAGTCAGTCCCACGTTGACGGCATTTCTGCCTGGCAAGAGGCATGGATAGGTCCGGTATTGGATCTTCTGTGTAACACAAGTACATCGGTGAACAGGCAAACCATCAGCGACTGCCTTTCCAGCCTTCTAAAGACCTCGCCTGAAAGTATGGACTTCATCATTGGTAGGCTGACAACTGATGGAGGGAGTTTACTAAAGACAAGTGATGCCAAGCTTTGTGGACTCGTTGCTTGTCTCAAAACTGCCCACAGTCTTAGAATGAAGAGCCTACAAAGTCCCTCAAGTGTTACTGAGATGATGCTGAAGAAAGCATTGACGCACAGCAAGGACCAGGTCAGACTCAGCTCTCTCTCATTACTGTGTGAATCTCACAAGCAGACTGATCCAATCCCAGGACACCGCCTCTCATTGGTCCTGCATTTCCTGAAGTACAACTTGAACAGCCAATCACCATCCTTCAGACAGCAAACCTGCTCTTCCCTAAAGAAGCTGTTCATCTGTGTGAGAGACAGCAGCTTTGCTGCACAGCGCAGCCTACGACAGCAAGCAAAGAAGTCAGCCGATGAAACGTCACAGTCAGAAACATCTCAGGCTTCAAACCAGCTAAAACAGTACAAAGAGTTTCTTGACAAAGTCTTTGAAATGCTGTTTCAGGGTATCGGTGTGGGGGCGTCCTTTGCTAGAAAAGCAACATGCCTGAGTCTTCTTTCAATCATGTTGCAAAATCTTCTGTACCACACTTCATCTGAGAGTATTGCGGAGGTGTTCCCTTTGTCTGACATGTTCACTCCCCAACATTTCCATCTCCTACTAGAGTGCCTTGCTGACACGTATGAGCCAAACAAACAATCAGGGCTAGAACTCTTAACCTTGATCCTTAATAACACTACATATTCTTCTGTTCATTTGAAGGAAGATGATCGGCTCTGTGCTCGTTTGTTCAGGATCTGTGACACACTGATGAAAAGTGTGAACCCTCACGACAGTGTCACTGCTGCGTACATTTTCAGGCTTCTTCTCCACCATTCTATGGATGCTCTACGTGTAAAGGAACTGAATTCAGAAATTCCAGATATAATACTCGAGCTGGAAGATGATGTAAGCAACACATTCACTTTGCTAGGATCCCTAGTCATGAAACTGAAAATGTTGGTGGAACGCAGCAAAACAGATCTGCTTGAAGTCGCAGCAAACTCTCCAATATATGGCATGATACACTGTATCAGGGCTCTATTGGCTGATGTAGATATGGCGTCATTGGTTACCAAGTTCGAATGTGGAAACCACGTTGTGGATGAGATAGTTGATGTCTGTTGCGAGGTGTCCAGTATCGTATCACCTATTGTACAGACAGCTGCGCCGGAGGGGTACGTACCAGAAGGGGCCACTCTCGCTGACGAGGCAGTAACACAGGTGTCCTTGAAGCCAGTCGGGGAAGAAGATGACAATACAACGTCTCAGGAACCATCTTCAGTGTCGTCTCAAGCCTTACTCATCTGCTGTTGGAGAAGCTTGATGGAGATCTCTCTGTTGTTTGGACTGTTTGCTCAGAAAGCTCCGCTGTATCAAGATGATCGTAGACGTTGGAAAGGTCTGTTATCTGTCCACCAGGTGTTGATGATAGGAGACTACTTCACTACTCAACTGCTCGAAGCTCGCCACTTGGGAGCGTTCGAGAAGGGAAAAGACGGCTTCGTAAAACTTTGCCACAGGCTGTGGCGGTCCGAGAAACCAGAGTTGAGAACGCTTCCTAGTGATTGGTTGACCGAGCTCCTGGCAAGCCTCCGTGACTACAGCGACAGTAGCCTGTGTGCGACCAGGCGTAGCGCCGGTTTGCCGCTGTTCTTCGAGTGCGTGTTGACCACCGAGCCGGAGGAACGTCAACAAGCACAACTCAAGTCCTCAATGGAGCAGCTTCTCTCACTCACCTCTTCCTTACCACTGCCTACCGACAGCAAACACACTGTTCCTATTGTACACGCCCTGAACATCCTCAAAGCTCTGTTTAGGAACACCAAACTCGGCGAGCACATCTTCCCATACATCGTTGACGGCGTCAGAGTGACCATTCTTGGGTTCGGCTCCGAAGTCTGGGCCATACGTAACGCGTCCACGCTTCTCTTCAGTATCCTCATGACCAGGATATTCGGAGTAAAGCGAGGGAAGGATGAACACGCCAGGAGGAATTGTATGTCGGGAAGAGAGTTCTTCGCCAGGTTTCCCTCCCTCCATCCCTTCCTTCTGGATCAACTGCAGCTGGCAGTGGAGAGGATCCAGTCCTGTGAGAGCAGTGTAGATCTGCACCCAAGCCTGTACCCAGTGTTGATCTTGTTGGCAAAGTTGTACCCCTCCCCCATGGACGGAGCCTCTTCAACGCTAAACATGTCTGCATTCGTCCCACTGGTACAGAAGTGTGCACACAGTACGGTCATGAAGACAAGAGCCATGGCGGCACAGGCACTTCTACCACTCATCCCAGCTGGACAGGCTGCCTCCAACATAGGAAAACTCCTGAAACAGATGGAAGACACCTCGGTAATCTCTCAGAATTCCATCCATGGAATCCTGCTGCAAGCCCAAGGGTTGATCAAGACTTACTGTTGCAAAGACATTCCCGGCGTAACACAAGAAGATCTTGAGTCAGAGGTGTACCCTTCCTTACAACGTCTTTCTTGGATTGGGTCGAAGATGAATCCTTGTGCTGTCACAAGGGCACTGTATATTGAGACCGTTGAGTTCCTTGTTTTTGACAGCAGCGCAGGAAAAGGCTCTCAACTGTTGCAAGAGCTGTGTACAACTTTAGCAGAGTCGCTTTGCATAGAGTCTCTGGATGATAGTAGTGGTGTGTGTGGTGCTGCTGCCTTGAATGTCTCCATTGCCCAGTTTGTTCTGAAGTGGCTACTACAATCAGGCGACGCAGTCACAAACACTGTTGTCAATCCAGCAGGACTCCTGCTTATGCTGCTCACTAGCAAACATTACGAAGTCCGGCAGAGAGCACTGGAGTTCCTCAACAAGAACATCGCAGAACAGCAAAACCTTCCAACAGAAAAGGGAAAATCCGAGGGAACAAACATGGATGAAACAGAAACACAGTCCAGTGTAACAAACAATCAAGATATTCATGATGAATTGGTAAAGAGCTCTCAAAGCAGCTCCAAAAGCATGGACTTAGAAGTAGATAAAAGACTTCACCCATTGCTGAGACTGTGCACGGAAGAGGGGGTGTTTCAGCAGCTTGTTGCCATGATCTGCCAGACAGAAAGGAACTTGGAGGTCCTCCCTCATCTGTTAGAGCTGATGTGCAGTCTGGTACCATTGAAGCCTTTTCCATGGGTCATCACAGCTCCAGCACTCAAACGTACACTCAAGGTATGTGTTCTATTGCAAATTATATTTCCAAATTTGTCAACCTACACTTTTTGCTTATACAAAAATGTGGTAATTTATGCCTGTTCTTGGTTCTGAATGCAATATACATACAGGCAAACATGCTTGTCCTCGGTGATGAACATAACACATACAGGCAAACATGCCTGCCTGTCCTTGGTGCTGAACACAGGAAAACATGCCTGTCCTTGGTGCTGAACACTATCCACACACATGCAAACATACCTGTCCTTGGTGCTGAACACAGGCAAACATGCCTGTCCTTGATACTGAACACTATCCACACACATGCAAACATATCTGTCCTTGGTGCTGAACACAATCTACACAAGTGAACATGCCTGTCCTTGGTGCTGAACACTATCCACACACAGGCAAAACATACATGTCCTTGGTGCTGAACACAATCTACACAAGCAAACATGCCTGTCCTTGGTGCTGACCACTATCCACACACAGGCAAACATGCCTGTCCTTGGTGCTGACCACTATCCACACACAGGCAAACATGCCTGTCCTTGGTGCTGACCACTATCCACACACAGGCAAACATGCCTGTCCTTGGTGCTGAACACTATCCACACACAGGCAAACATGCCTGTCCTTGGTGCTGAACACAATCTACACAAGTGGGCATGCCTGTCCTTGGTGCTGAACACCATCCACACACAGGCAAACATGTCTGTCCTTGGTGCTGAACACAACACACATACAGGTAAACATGCCTGTCCTTGGTGCTGAACACTCCACATACAGGCAAACATGTCTGTCCTTGGTGCTGAACACAACACACATACAGGTAAACATGCCTGTCCTTGGTGCTGAACACTATCCACACACAGGCAAACATACCTGTCCTTGGTGCTGAACACAATCTACACAAGTGGACATGCCTGTCCTTGGTGCTGAACACCATCCACACACAGGCAAACATGTCTGTCCTTGGTGCTGAACACAACACACATACAGGTAAACATGCCTGTCCTTGGTGCTGAACACTATCCACACACAGGCAAACATGCCTGTCCTTGGTGGTGAACACTATCCACACACAGGCTTCTACTTCTACACATTTGTTTTCTCTTATTTATATTTGATTTACCTTATGTACTTGTATTTATTCTGTGAAATCTTGGTTCTTTATCAAGTTTATGTACAGATTTGTTTATTTGCATTTATGATCTGTTATGAGTTCACTCTGTTCTGCTTAATTGTATATAGCCTAACTTTATTTATGTTCACATTTTGTTTGGATTTTGTACCTCTGTTTCTCTGTTGTTTATGTATTATTTATTCTCAAACGGTGTCGTATAAGCCCACACGGGCTGGGCGTGGTATGCGCACGACACGAAAATAAAGTTTCATTCATTCATTCATTCATTCATTCATTCATTCATTCATTCATTCACAGGCAAACATGCCTGTCCTTGGTGCTGACCACTATCCACACACAGGCAAACATGCCTGTCCTTGGTGCTGAACACTATCCACACACAGGAAAACATACCTATCCTTGGTGCTGAACACAATCTACACAAGTGAACATGTCTGTCCTTAGTGCTGAACACCATCCCTGCCCTTGGTGCTAAAAAACATCCACATGCAATTACTTTTATATCTCAAGTGGGATCTGTTTTAATCAGTGTTATTGTTTTCAGTTGACGTGTAGAGTACTGCTCCAGACCCTGGCCTGTTTTGGTGAGGAAAGCAGCATGAAGCCAGAGCTCCTGTCAGCTGTAGTCTCTCTGTCTTCTATCACTGCTAACATGTTGTACACATCATTACATTCACAGGTAGATGGTATAAAATTCTTTATGTCAGCACGTCGGCAGAACGTACTGCACCTGCGCGAAACCTGTAATGTATTCTACATAGCATTTTGGCAGAATGTCTCATATAAGGTTGTATTTGCTAATATAAGGTTAGCATTTCGACAGTAGTTTCCAAGTGTTATGTCGGAAAGAATATACTCTGCAACAGGCAAAATTCTGATGCAACGTTGACCAAAAACCCAACGAAAAACGCAAAAATACGGGGTTCTGCGCAGGCGCAGTACGTTCTGCCGACATGCTCTTTATGTCATACCTGGGCCACAAATAATTTTGATATGGGTGTTCTGGCCTGTGTGATAACTATTGTAGTTCCATAGACTAATTCGGAGTCGTTTTGCATGTACTGCTTTTTAAAATTCGGATACCAGATTTTGGACGATGGAATTGATGTTCTTAAAATTTTTTATTAAAGAAACCAAAAGTTTTTTTGGGGTTAGTATGACGTAAATAAAATACAACACAGTGCAATCAGTATCACCCTTGGAGGATGCAGAATACAAAATGTATTCTATAAGGCCACAGCAAGTAATTTCTATGGATGACATCAGCGCGCGCATTATTTTCGCCTGATTTTGGAAAAAAAACAAGAAATTTTCTTACCTTCTGACAGTGGTCAACATGCCGAAAATGGGCAAAGAAGCTGTTGCTATGCCAGAAGGTGGATGGCAGATAACTATGAAGAAAAGGCTCTGATTTAATGTTTTGTCTCTCACTTTGATGCAGTGATATGTCATGCTGGCTGTGTATATGTGATGTTCCCACTGAATAAATACCATTTGTACATGATTGAGTAAAAAATGTTAAAATGTAGGAACCTTGTTTTTTTCCACCTGCCTTGTTTTTTTTTCACCCGCTCGCATTAGATTTGGAGTCTGCAGAGGATGTCATCCATAAAATTTACATGCTGTGGCCTAACTAGTGTAAGCACTAGTAATATGAGGATTGGTCTCAGGCCTAGTTTAACTGAACACCCAGAGGAAGTCAGTGGTTAGACATAAGTCCCAAAATTAAGTCAGCAAAGTGCTACAGGTCAAAAGGTGCCCCCCTCACCCTGGTGCCTAACACAATAACTTCTCCTCAGTCAACATGCCCTGTTAAGATAAGTGTTTACAGTGATATATGAGGCTAATTGTGCTTTTAACCCAGTAAAGTCACCATCAGCCTACATAATCATTACAACCAATACTACACAGCCACCTGGTCCCAATATCACAGGCCCTCAATTATGCTTCAAGCTGCTCAATCTTAGTACCAAAGATGCTCACAAATTTATCATGTAAAGGGAAAAACGATGTACAAAAGGGACTGTAAAATTTTAATGTATTGTGCTTAGAACTTTGTTGATAACATGTATAAAACATGCCTTCTGTATGTGGTGGTCTATACTTGTAAACGCATTCTATATACATGACTGTGGACAATTTCATTGTGTTACTACATGTGTGGTATAATTGTAAAGATTTTGTAAAGTTTATCATACTCTAAAAATGTACTAGGTACTTTTTTTTAAAAATCAGAGCATGTTTGTTACAGTAAAGGATTGCCAATAAGTTTCCCAGTACTTTAATACGGAAGAACTTTATTGCACGACAATTGCAATGTATGGCAAACTACATAAAGATAGTAACAACATTAAAATAAGTGTGTTGAACAAGGCCTAATGTCAAATAAAACCTAACAAATCTATATCATAATTATTCAAATAATAAGGGATAGCACAAGTCTTTGATGAAGTGTTACAATCGAGCGGGCTAATCACAAGTTTCAGAATTATTTCTAATAACAAAGCAGTCCTTTACATATCTACCTATTTTTGCGTTGTGGGGACCATTACATGTAAAGATATATTCAAATCTGTCTCTAACATCGAGACTCTTGAAATCTATTGTGTTTTACATGTATATGACTCATATCTTTTAGGTTGAGATGGATACACTAGTCTCAGAGTGCCTTGCAGATTGGACAGACCTTATGCTGGGATGTTCCCAACCAGGACAGAATGTGGAGGTTAGACTGGCTGTTGCAAAGGTTAGTATTGTCTGTCATTCATGTTTCTTGTTCTTCATGTTTCATGTACACTGGAACAACTGCATTTCTGTGTGCCCTACATCAAAATAGATTATAGAATTATATACGACACCCATATATATGGGTGTCGTATAATGCTGGCATGGTGTGATTTTTTCCCTTAGGCCACACCAATTTAATTTCTTGGTTAACGGATTTGCCCGCTTCATTTTTTTCTGAGTTGCAAAAAAAAAATAAAAACTCAGAATCAACTGCAAAATGCTCATATTTTGCCCTGAACAGTTGAAAACAGTCCTTTTCTTCCTAGTTGTTACAGTAAATTCCATCTTTCAATGCAATGGTATCATTAAAAGTTCAAAATTCATAGTTTGAATTTTGAACCAGCTTAGTGTGTTGACTTCATGGCACCTATGGTACCATTTTGGGCCATAATAGGATGCCTAGGCCTGTTTTTATTTATTTATTTTTTCGCCCGCCCGCTCCATTATTTTTCTAGAAAAATCCGTTAACCAAGAAATTAAATTGGTGTGGCCTTATCCAGCTTTGTTCCTTGAATATGGCTGTCTCTATGTAGGTCATACACTGTGCCCCAGGTGTAAGAGAAATGTTGTGTAATACATCATTGCAGGTTTTACTGTGAGAAGCACTGTGTTTTTCACGTGGGTGTTTCTGCAGCCATGCGTCATGATGCTGTACTGTACAGTGACAAATTGTTGCTGTAATTACAGACATTAACTCAAGCCATGCACATCGGGAAGACCTTTATGTAGCACTCTTAGTCAACTTTTAACCCATTTGTTACTGCTGTAGTACATGTAACTGAAATGAACTAAATCATAAGATATTATGCCCTATTTACTCAAAAATACACTGTTAAACCTTTCATGTTTGAAATAAGGTTTGAAGTATGATCCACACAAGTACTTTTCAATGTCTGAGTGATGCAGGTAAAATGTGCATTTGTCTGGTGCACGTAATGTAATAAGATAAATCTGTTACATTCACTGGTGCAGGTATGTAGAAAAAAAGTATTCTGAGCCCTGTATGCAGTATGTTTTTCTGGTCAACATACATGTACAGTGTACCAACCTTTCTTTAGTTTATATGTCTCTGTTTCTCTTTCTGTACAATCTGTTCATACTAACTATTTTACAGACTGACCTTGTTAGTTAGTGACACTGAGTTTCTTTACCATGTTGTTCTCCTATAGGGGCTTACTGTTGTGACCAGTATGTTAGAGGATGGAGGTTGCTTGCCGGGTGACCTTGGTTTCACCTTGTGGAGAGCACTGCTTACCTTGCTTCAGGTTAGTCCTGTTCTTGTTTTTGGGGGGATGTGGGGGGTGGGGTGAAGATATAGCTTTGTTCCATAATACTTTCATGGTACAATGAGTGAATGACACACCTAAAATATGCCAAATCATATATATATACGAATTAATTTTGTACTTATTTATGTTGTATAATACAATGTATGACAGATATCTACTGATTATAAGGCCAATTTTCTACTTAAACAGTAACGGACAGAGTATTTTTCATGACAATGCATCACAAACTAGTGCAACAGTAACTGTTAGTTAAGTAACACATATTATTAAGCACTTTTAAACATAATCACATCAACTACCAGTATGTCAGATTTAAGAATGGGGTTTGAAAAGTTGATGTATTTGACAACAAAAACTTACCCTGAACTGCCAAGTTTATTAATGTTAATTGTTTTAATTTCAGAAGTTCAGAACTTGTTAATTTTCCAAATTGTTGAGGTACAGGTACCTAAACCGTGTACCTAAACCTGTGTACTTGTACCTGTACCTAAAATCTGTTTAGGTACACAGCTCTACCTGCAATGACCCCACTTGTAAAGCTCTTCTGTGTTAATCCCTTGAGTAGAGCAGGGACTGTATACGATGACGACAGTCCTTTGTCGAGTCTTTTGTTTTTACCCCCTTGGGAACGATCCATCAGCTTTCCACACATCACCAGGAGACTTACAGCAAGAACTCCCCTCCTCTCCACCTTCCTAAATAAATAATCACTCCAGCCTACACAATCCAGACCAGATGTCCTAAGCACCAAGTTCCTCACATCTTCAATTATTCAAACCCACTGAAAAGGTCATTTGGCAAACAATGATGTTATCTGGGGTTGACAGATGTTTAGAATGAGTGCTGGTCTATTCTAACGTGATTAGGTCTTCATGGAGGGTTAAGCCTCGAGGTGATGTTTCCAATGATAAAAGATGTCCATCAAATAGCCCAAGCTGTTTTTCAAGGATTATGAGTGAGTCAATTCATAACAACAGATAAGAGATGTCTGTACAACAACATTACATCATCACATGTGTGTGCATGGGGGATGCTGTTGACAAAAAGAGAAATGTACAACCATTAGAAGAAAAATAATTGAAAGTTTATTGAAAATGCTTGCCCGAGGGCTAATTGCAGTTACAAACAACATAAGAAAGAAAATACAGTGGCATGTGAGACTATTTCTACGTCTAGCATTGTACTATATTCTACAACATACATGGTACTAGTTTTACTGGGTTTGACTTCTTCTTTTTAGGCAATGGAAGACAAATTTACCCACTTCTTCTATAATATGTGGGTTCTTTGATTTTAGTAGTAGAATAATTTATTGTTTAGAAGAATCATTCTGTTTTTCACAACCTAAACAGAATTTTACCCTCAATTAAGTAAAAATATGTCCTAGTACCAGTAGGCTAAATCATGACAATTTTTTTGTCAATGCAAGAAGGCAATCGGAGATTCAGCAAAATTCATCCATATCAGAAAAAAACACATGCACACACACACACGCACACACACACACTCACTCACACATACATACATAAACACCAATCATGGAATCCTAACTAAGACAAAACATTGTTAGCTTACATGTACATTTAGTCAATAGAAAATAATGGTTTCTTTTGTATTAACGAGTTCTTTAATTTCCAATGATAGATATTATTTTCCCTTAGTATCGAATCTCAAACAAGACTTTCATTCTGAAAAGTGTCACACCCAAGTCAGAACTGCCATTTGATGGTACAATAACTTTTATAATTCACTAAGGCCACACCAATTTAATTTCTTGGTTAACAGATTTTTCTAGAAAAAATAATGGAGTGGGCGGGGGAAAAAATAAAAATAAAAACAGGCCTAGGCATCCTATTATGGCCCAAAATGGTACGATAGGAGCCATGAATTCAACACACCAGGCTGGTTCAAAATTTAAACAATGAATTTTGAACTTTTAATGATACCATTGCATTGAAAGATGGAATAACTGTAACAACTAGGATGAAAAGGACTGTTTTCAACTGTTCAGGTCAAAATATGAGCATTTTGCAGTTGATTCTGAATTTTTTTTTGTTTTTTGCAAATCAGAAAAAAATTAAGCGGGTGAATCCATTAACCAAGAAATTAAATTGGTGTGGCCTAATTCATTGTTTTAAACTTAAAAACCTAGAAATTATAAAATACTTTTATATAGGACGAAGATGAGGTCACAAGACAAACAGCGGCAAGTTCTGTACTGTTGTTAAGCAACAAGAAACAGGAAACATCAGTAAGCATCCAGCCAACCCTGGCCCTCCAACAAGCCGTGGAGCTCCTTCCTCAGTCAGCCAACCAGGAGACATGGCACCCCTGTATCCTCCTCCTGCATGACCTTGTGACGGGGAGCCCTGACCTTCAGGATGTATTTCCAGATGGACAGATTACAGTAGGTGTTAGAATTCTGTTTTTTTAATGTATTGTTTATTGTTTATTTCAGTTTGCACATAAAAATAAAAACAGTATGTAATGTACAACCAAATGTGCGGGGGAACCCAAGAAACCTAAGTGTTTATCGAGTGGGTTCTCCTAAAATCCAATTGTTTTTATGACCTCTTTTTACACACGTGTATTGTAAATAAGTGACAACGAAACAAATCAAATCAAAATAGATACAAAATAATATAGAGTTAACACGACGAACTAACTATCTAATTGACTAAACAATAAAGTAAGACTATCAAAAACATGTCAAATTGAACAAAAAAATTTCCATTAGTCAAATCATAACTTATTATGCATAAGAGCAAAGGATAAACATAAGAAAGGAATATTAACACAAAATTTAATAAACGTAGCATAAGAAATCAAGGAAAACAAATTAAAGCAAATCAAGAAGTGGTAGATGGCGTCTCTATAGGTCGATTTTTAGATATCTTTTGAAAGTTGGAAGGGATTGACAATTCTGCTGTAAATGTATGAACTTAACCAAAGTATATGTTAGGCCTAGGGAAAAACAAAGTTATGTTTCCAGTCCAAATACCAGTGTAACTGTATTTTAGTGTTATACGAACCATACTCTTTTTCAGGACCGTAATAGAGAACACAAAATTAATTTTCCTAGCTTAGGAACAGATTTGAACAGACTCTTGTTGTCTGATCATGTGCGTTTCTGTACATGTAGATGTTCAAAGTGCTTTTTGATTTGAATGACATTTAACCTTTAAAAGGAGGATCATCATTAAGATTCCACATACATTGCAAGTGTGCTAATACAAATGCTCAAATGAGATAGTAAAAGATTCTGATCTATCCTCAAAGTGTTGTATTTATCTTTTTTTTTTCTTAGACTGAAGTGGTCTTTGAGAAGGGAGAGACCAACACCTATGAAGAGGGGGTGGAGTTGGCAGGTTTGGCAGCTCAAAGCCTAACCCAGGCAGTAGCAGGCACCCCATTGGTCGGCACTGATGTCCAACCCTACCTGCCTAAAACTTCAACAGCTATTGTACACCAACACTCCTCTTCAAGATCTTTGAAAGAGTTTCCTATAGATGCATCTCTTATTGTAGCTCTTATAGAGAAAGATGTGTCCTTGCTTCAAGAGTTGTGTAAAAGATGTAATTCACTGGAAAAATCCCCAGTCTTTGTGTACCATTCCCTGTATGTGAGGGTGTGTGAAACACTCTTCAGGCTGCTCACAGCTGTTACAGTTCTTCTGAGGTGTCCACATTTGGATAGCACATTTGTCGCTGACACTGTAGCTAAGGTAGTAGGGATTGTAAACAGTTGTACTGTATGCCAACAACCTCTACCAAGCCCACTTGTCAAAGAAGCTTTGGTACATTTGCAATATCTGGTTAAGTAATCTTATTCAGTGTACAAAATACTTTTTTTAACCAGGTTGCCCAGTGGGCAACCTACGGCAAAAATTAGGTTGCCCATCAGAATTTTAGGTTGCCCCACCTATAAGTTACTACTTTCCTCAAACTAAGTAATGTTACATACATAAGCCTTTGACAATAGTTTTAACAGCCTTTAGTTAACTGATACTAGTAATAGCCATTGATACCTAAAATTTAAAAGCATCTGCCAGATACAGTGGTGCAAGCCAAGTGGGCATGATTGGGGGGGGGGGGGGGCATTCTTCAAATTCAAGTAGCACACTGGGCTACCTAGGTTCGAAAATAGGTTACCCCAAGTAAAATTTGGTTGCCTGGGGCAACTGGGCAACCAGGTATTTTTCACGCTGTTATTCAAGACCTTGGACAGTATGTCATAATGCAAACAGTCTTTAGGATTTGACAACAAATTATTGACAACAAATTATGGTTAGATAGTATGTGACAAAATGACATTCTTTTTTTATTCTTGAACATAAAGAATGTTAATGCAAGATAGGGCTGCCTTCTTTTAAATCATTTAAGCTGCATGTAAAACTTCATCATAAAAACAGGCTTTAGGATTTGACAACAAATTATTGACAACAAATTATGGTTACTAGATAGTATGTGACAAAATGACATTCTTTTTTTATTCTTGAACATAAAGAATGTCAATGTAAGATAGGGCTGCCTTCTTTTAAATCATTTAAGCTGCATGTAAAACTTCATAATATCAGTGACCTAATTCCAATGAATAAAAAAGATTACTCAATATAATATATTCTTTTGTGAAGCCTTTGAATACAGTAATTAGAGCGGATACAGGATTTTATCAATATTTACCATTGTGTTTTCTGCAATAATTCTTGTTGTTATTTTACGATGAAGTCGTTTATTTTGAATGTATCACCTTTCTCCATTCCCATAGCGCACTGTTTTGTGTTGTGCGGAAAATAACAATGTTCAGATCGATAAATATGGTTAGATGAGTCTCTGTACAGTCATTTGCCCGTATGATTGTATTGGGAAGAGGACAAAAGCCTCGGTCACAACCCGCCGTACGTGCTTTTTGTCCGTACGTTTTTTGGGAGGCTACGTCTGGTACGTTTTTCCGAAAACGTGGGGAAGGAGTGGCGTCGACGCACGTCACTCACACGGTTGTGCAAGGTGTAAGAGTGTGGTCTGCACGCCACGTCTGGCCGTGAGTGGTTGCATGCATCGTTGCGCAAGTGGTAAGTGAGTTGTGCGTGCTTACACCGTACGATCTTTGTGCGATTGCAACTTTACCGTAAGGAGGCCGTACTCACACGTGCTTCTTCCGTACGGTACGTACGGGGCACGCGCGTCGCTCATACTCGCACGTACGGGTGGTGAATCCGCAGACCGCACGTAGAAAAAGTTTTACATGCACTTAAAGTTCTACGGCGTGTCTGCGTGCTCCCAAATCCGTAGGATTCCGTACGGAGGCGGTACTCACCACGCACGGATGCCCCACGTTTTTGCACGTAGACAGCACGCAGAAGCATGTACGGCGGGTTGTGACCAATGCGGTTAGAATGAAAACACTTGTGGTCAGCTTATCTTGTTGACCTAGTTATGTCAGCTTGAACTGACAACTTGTTCGCTCTCAGAAATGTCACCCTGACTTCTCTTCAACCTGCATTTTAAGCCACAAGATTAAATGGTCATCAAGATTCATTTTACTACCATGTACATCATGTCATAGCTAGTTAACGAGACTCATTAGGCATTAAAGTAACTACAATGATTATGAATATGATGGTACCAATAAAATGAGACAAGCTTTAAGCATAACTGTTTTTTTTTTGTACATATTGAATGAAGAAAGTTACTGTAGTATGTGTAACAATGTGTTTGAATTTTTATGATTCAGTGTCAGATTCGCATAACCTATTCCTACTAACCCCCAAAACGGCCAGGGATAAAGCTTGAATTTGCAGTTAACGCCGTGGCAAAAGTGGATTTATAACCATTGGCATATACAAAGCAGTCTATCTATGTGTTAGTTGACTTTGAAGATCGAGTGTCACAGGCACATACTGTGTTCCTACTAACCCCCAAATGGTCGGGATAAAGCTCAAATTTGCAGTTAACGCCGTGACAAAAGTGGATTTATAACCATTGGCGTATACAAACCAGTCTATCTACGTGTTAGTTGGCTTTTGAAGATTGAGTGTCACAGGCACATACATGTACTCTATTCTTACTAAGGCCACACCGCTTAATTTTATGGATGACATCCGCGCGCGCATTGATTTTCGCCTGTTCTCAAAAAAAAAAAAAGATCAAGTCCACCGAGGCTCTGTTCTGGCTCTAGGCCTGGGTAGTCCATGGTAGTTAGCGACAATACGGAGCCGGGCACCCAGGCTACCGAAGCTCCACGACTCAAGAACTACAGTGCTGATTCATAAATTCCGCAAAGGGCCAGCATTTGCCGGCTTGTAGTATAAGTCGCTATGTACTGCCGCAAATTCACAATACCAGCTTTGTATTCCTGTGGTTTAGTAGCATTTTTATTTTTGGCCGGATTTTTTTTATTTTCCCGCCCGCACTAGTTTGGGGGTCTTCTGAGGATGTCATCCATAAAATTAAGTCGGTGTGGCCTAATCCCCAAACGGTAAGGGATAAAGCTCAAATTTGCAGTTAACGCCGTGACAAAGGTGGATTTATAACCATTGGCGTGAGTGCGGGGGCAATAACCTACATCTTCACCTGCCCGCGACAGACTTATCGGCCATGGAAATTGGGGGATGTCGTGCTATTAGGGACCTGGTGTACAGAGTATGTGTCTCAAGGAGCACCGAATCTTTTACATTTTACGCTGTGTCATGCTTTCAGCTCAGTGACTCACGGTGGGCAATGGATAATAACGAGATTACATGTAATTGGAGTTATACGGCAAGCAGCCTGAAATAAATAGCATTTGCATAATATCACAGAAAGCCGTGGATACATACGGGAGGTTTAGACTATATAGCTAAGGTTAACGCCAGGGCTAATTCATGCCCTTAGCCCGTTCCGAGGTCCACGTTTTATGTGAAGGTCCACTTTTTGGTCCACTTTTTTATGTAAAGGTCCAAGATTTTTCTTTAAAAAGATGGACTGGAATCGTAGAAAAACTGCTCCCTTTGTCATTGAATAAAAATTTATCTCTGATTTCTTCTTGGAAAGCCTCCCAAAAATGCACGAAATGCCATTTTAGAAGGTTCATTTTCCTGGGGAACATGCCCCCGGACCCCCCTTCGGCGCTCGAGGTCGCCTCAAGCAGTGGGAAGGCCCCGGCCCATTCAAAATCCTGGCTACGGGCATGTAATTTCAAGGTTGTAGATGCGTAACACGCAGTGTAGTTCCGAATGAGCCCAAAGTCGTTTCTGTAGTGTGACAGCAATCACCACTGCACTAAATCCATTCTTTACGCACACGTTAAAGTATGCGTAAAGATTCCGTTTCTTCACTTGTTCTACGATTTCGTGCAGTGTGCCGCTGCGCAAACTGCGCGTTTCAAAATTAGATATCATACGACGGCCTTTCTCTTCAGTTTTCTCTATTTTTTTTTTTTGCAGTCACTAGTGCAACCATTTGCTTGAATGGCCCAACTATAATTAGCATTGTGTGCTAAAAACTAAACTGCTAGTAGATAAAAGTGAATTTGCCATTATGCCTGTTGGGGATTTGGAGTTTGCTGAAAGAAGACGCCTGATTCCACTTGAAGGAATCCCCATTTTCTTGAGAAGTCGTACCCTGGATGCCAAACTAGTATCGGGCCGTTAATTAGCCGTTTTCCTTCGGCAGCCGAGAGCCCTTCGCCCGCCTGCCTAAATTACCGCTACGGGTGAGTTGAGCCCGAGGGGTTTGTCCGGGCCAGCCAAACTCCCCAAGGCTAGACTCCCCCGTAGCGGTAAATTTACACCAGCGGGCGAAGGGCTCTTGCGGCCCGGAAAACGAATTTGGATTCCAGGCTAGGGTAGAGAAGTCGTCGTTTCTTTTATGTACCGTCCTCCTGTGACCCTCCCACATGTATCAGGCGAGACTACCACCGAGTCCCGGCATTCAGGAATAATAGCCCGCGACACAAAACGGATCAATTTGTAGTAAATTAACGGAGTGCCATAAAGCTATGGAGGCAATTTGATGCTACAGCGATTCGCTTGCAGATACAGGCGTGCGTTCTTAATCTTAGACCCATATGGCTGGTTCTTGGCATTGCGATGTACTAGTTTTATTTAGTATTGTTGAGCTTTTGCTATATGATACAACAGCTTTCCGATCTTGATCAAAACAGTCCTCATGTGGTCCAGGGTGATGTTTTGCTATGTGCAGTTTTATCTGTCATTTCTCCTATGTATGGGAAGGTACAGTTTTCGCACAATTTCATACAGGATTTGGCAAACCGCAATATATAGTGTCAAACTGTGATTGGCATATCCTTGTCCATACTGTACTCGTATGTTGCGTGTTTGACCAACCAAAACACTTCATTTACAAAATACAGAATTACTCAGTTATTTTACACATTATTCATTGAGCTGACACTTTAGATTTTTGCGCTATATCTGACAGAAAGTGTCTCTCTCCACCCAATGTTATTTTTGGCACAATGGATTAAAGAAGAACTTTATTGCACGACAATTGTACATGGTACAATGTATGGCAAACTACATAAAGAGACTAACAAACAATAAAAGAATTAATGTTGGATAAGGCCTTATGTCGAATAAAACCTAACATATCTTAATTATTCAAACAGTAAGAGCTAGCACAAGTCTTTGATAGAGTGTTACAATCGAGTGGGCTAAACACAAGTTTCGGTATTTTTTCTAAAAATAAAGCATTCCTTTATATATCTACCTATTTTTGCCTTGTGGGGACCATTACATGTTAAGATATATTCAAATCTGTCTCCAGCATCGAGACTCTTGAAATCTATGGTACTTGATTCGAGAAATGTAAATAGCTTGTTACGTATAACACCATATTTGGTACATTCCATAAAAAATGAAATTCATTTTCTATATGCTTTGGACAAATAAGACCAAGAACAGATACACCACGAACTAAATTTTTTTTTCTTCCCGAAGAACCACTAGGAGATGGATTTTGAGTACACGTCGTTACACGTCGATAGAACTAATGGTATCTGTAAGCGCCCACATCCTGTGCTTCCAATGCTATTAAGGAAACTTCCTCTCAGTAATGACACGCGCCGTCATTAACACAGTAACTGGCACATCGTGGCTTAGATAACCCTCACGAATCTTCCTTTTAATCAAGCCTTGGTCCCAGTGGGCCTCCGTTCAGCCGTAAGTCTATAATTCTTAATGTAATAAACTTTAGGAAGTTCTTCGCAATTATGATTGGTACTGGCTTCAGTCTGATAATGGAAAATATGGAAAATATACATGGAAAATTACATCAGTGCTTGACTCTCAAAAAGAAGCATATTTAGGCTAGTAGTAAGGCCACACTGACTTAATTTTATGGATGACATCCGCGCGCGCATTGATTTTAGCCTGTTCTCAAAAAAAATCACATCCTCCGAGGATCTGGCCTGGCTCTAGGCCTGGGTAGTCCATGGTACTAAGTAGTTAGCGACAATACGGAGCCGGTTTAACTCTTGAGAATGGCACCCAGGCTGCCGAAGCTTCACGACTCAAGAACTCAGTACATACGTACAGTGCCGATTCATAAATTCCACAAAGAGCCAGCATGTGCCGGCTTGTCGTAAACGTCGTTATGTACTGCCGCAAATTCACAATACCAGCTTTGTTTTCCTGTGGTTTAGTGGGCATTTTTATTTTTTGGCCGGAATTTTTTTTATTCGCCCGCGCGCACTAGTTTGTGGGTCTTCAGAGGATGTCATCCATAAAATTAAGTCGGTGTGGCCTAACACAGCATATAGATTTGTGTTCTAAGATCTGTTCAATGTTGGATATTAGTACGGTTCAAACTTGTAACCGTGGTTGGTTTTCCTTTGACGCCCAAGATCATGATATTCTGTCATACTCATTTTCACCTGAGCGAAGTTAGGAAAGTCGTGTTGTTAAGTGCCTTTCCCAGGGGTACAAGGTTGGTGACTTGGTAGGATTCGAACCTGGGACCTCTTGGTTATGAGCCAAATGCTTTGGCACACAATCCCACAAGTTTCGACAGAACTCTGCAAACGTGGAGGGATTTCCGCAACGATGGTCAGACCGGTGTCCCTCAAAGGCCTCTTAGTTAATCGAAGTCTTCCTGGCGGCGGCCCAAATGCGCCGCGGATGATTGTCCTGTGTCTCGGGGAGACCGGTGTCTCTGGTCCGTCTGCTTCTGGTGAATACAAATGATGGGGACGGTTTGGGAAGGTCTTGTCAACTCATCAGACCTTTGCACGGCTGGCTACTGCAACAGTCTGCTGATGGCATGCTCATGGTCATGGTCACGAGTGAACACGAACTCACCAGAGCATCTCATCAAGGAACGTATCGTTTATAATTACCTGCCATTAGTGCTGCATACCGGTTCACTGGACTTGGATCCGGACTTGTAAGAATGTTTAGGACTTTAGGTTCAAGTCCAAAAAAAAAACAACTAAAAGTCAAGTCTGGCCTTATTACCATAAAAGACCATTTTACATACCCTTTTCTTTCTAAAACCTTCCGTAGATTGCAAAATCTTTGCTGCAAAATGAAGAAAACATTGCCATCGGGCATTGTCAAGTGTCGGCCTCCATGTTATGTGGCCAAAGTTTTGCCCAAACAACATTGCAAGGTTGCCAACATGCAATTTTGTATATACCATGGGTTTAGGTCCGGACTTACAAGTCTGGAACTGAACCTAAACCTCTTGACTTGAATCCGGACCTGAACCTAAATGTGGGTTTAGGTATGCAGCACTACCTGCCATATCCCTCGAAGCAGAGGGCGGAAGGAAACAATTTCTGAGAAGAAAGGAGGCAGTTACGCGTGCCTTTGTTACTAATCAGAACAATGATGCAGTCACCAGTTTCACTACTGTAGCAACAATTGTATCACACGAAGTACTCAAGTTGTTACACGCAGCTGAAAATGTTTAATTAGCAAAGTTCCTCTCTATTCATAACCACTTTTTTTAACAATAGCCGATGTTTCGTGGACAATCTGTCTTCATCTGGGCTACCATGACTGGTGTACTGTGCACTGGAGCTAGGAGTTACTGTAACAATGCAGTCCCAACCGTAAAACATTTGTTAATTTTTATCTTAATTATCTAATCAGTTAATTTCTGCAACAGCGACCTGAATTATAAGACTTTTGTTTAATTTCTTTTCGTAGATGTAAAAACTAGTTTACACACTTCAGTTATTATTTCCTGTATCTTGATTTTGTTTAACTAATCAATCATTTCATTATTTCATTGTTTAATTTTGATGTTTAATTCAAATATGCTTTGTCATGTATCATAGTTACCTTTGTTTGGGGTAGGCCCTTTAAAAAAAACCACCTAGGTTTCTGGCCTACCCCGCATATTCTCTTATTCTTATTGTTTGATTGTGTAACTTTTTTATACGTGCAAATAATAAATAAACAAAAATAATGGCTGTGAAATAATTTACAGCCAAAGATGTTGCAATGGAAATGTACCACATAGTGTGAGCACAACACGTCCCGTTCCTCCCACATGCCAGTTACCTATGATCAGCGCTCAAATACCACTACATTTAATCCATGATCCATGATTAATTTTTTTTAGTTATATTAAACGCCTAAACTCTGAAACCAAGATGCTATATTATGACGTATTTTTTATTTAGAAATATATATATATGGGCGTCCAGAGGTAGACCATAAACAGAAAGCTTCGAAAGATAGTTAACGTTATTTGCCAGCAAACGCTGTATTTTGCGTATTTCAAAGCATCTCTTCAGATAAAGTTATATTTTCAAAAGTCTTCGCGCAGCAGATTTCCCGGGCCCATAGTAAAAAAGTAGCCTGGGTACCATCCGGATTGTCGCTACGCAACGCTCGAAAAAATGGATGGTACCCAGGCTAGTAAAAAAGAAAATAACCCGGTAATGCGTTTGGAAATCAACTGCAAGTTCTCTCAAGTACATACCAAACCGCAGAGGGACTAGTAAACACTACACGATGATCATAAAAGTGCAATTTTGCACTCTTAAGGAAATATTTGTCTCTTTATAGATTTACTTGCAACCTGAGGATGGTTTCACGGGCCTTAGGAGTGGATGTAAAATTTCCCGAAACCCACGCGTCGTAAATTACGTAACTGGTAGTTTAGCCACACCGACTTATTTTTATGGATGACATCCTCTGAAGACCCCCAAACTAGTGCGCGCGGGCGAATAAAATGAAATTCCGGCCAAAAATAAAAATGCTTCAAAACCACAGGAATACACAGCTATAGCTGGTATTGTGAATTTGTGGCAGTACATAGCGACGTATACGACAAGCCGGCACATGCTGGCTTTTTGCGGAATTTATGAATCGGCACTGTACGTATGTACTGAGTTCTTGAGTCGTGGAGCTTCGGTAGCCTATGTGCCCGGCTCCGAATTGTCGCTAACTACCATGGACTACCCGGGCCTAGAGCCAGGCCAGAGGTTTGGTGGAGGTGAGTCGGTGTTGCCTTTCTACGAATTGTCGGGGAAACGAGTCGCTCATATCAGACGAGACGGAAATGTGATAAATTAATAATCTCTAATGGGTTTTCTGCGGTAATTTGATAGATCATCACTGCAGATGTATAATTTCAGAGAAGGTTGAATCATTCATATACGCTTTCAGAAAAAAAAGGGAGTCATATTGGTTGAAATTGGCCTACTCACCAGGCCGTGACCGGACTGTGGAATGGCCTGTACTTTTAATCCAACACTTGTCCTGAATGGGCAAGATCCCAACATTGCCATTGATCTGCACACAGAATAAATCAGTGTAGATCCTTTATTGGTTGCCGATCATGTCCCCGTATTAGACATTAGAACGTTTTCCGAAAGTCTATTCCCCTGTCATTACCCGGGCCACTTTGTTTTGTTAACGTGATTCAGCAGCCACTACAATGTTCAAATCGATAGGCAACATGGGACGTTGATGATGGCATGAAGCATGGATCGTTAAGAGAACTCGTCAATGGGGAAGTCGTTAACTGTGACTCAGGGCCCTTCTAGTGTCGTTTTACCGGGAGGAGGCGGTGGCACAGGCTGCGCCATGGAGGGAATAGGGCCGGAAAGATCGCCCGGGATGATTGCTCCCACTAAAGCAGTCGTTCCCCGATGAGGGCGATGATAAGGTTTGTCACATCTTTATGAGTAATTGCAATAATGTAAGACTCACGCGTTTTAATGTGTGCGATTACTGCTCGACAACAAGCATCTTTAACCGCGCCTCAGAAAGCGTGAAACCTTTTCCTGACATTAAGCCATTTCTGCACGAGAAGATATCGTGACCAAGAACTTGGAAGACGAGAACTACACAAAGCTCGGACCTCGGGTACGTGCCATTTGCAGCCCACTTGAGTAGCATTAAATTTTAAAGAAGCAGGTTAAGTCCCATCAGGAGAGATCAATCGCCGGCTTTGTGACTGTTGTTGCTAAGAGAGGGTTGCGCAGGGAAGGGAGAGGACGGCGTCTCTAGTGTAGACACCAGGCAAGAAGGAAGGCAAGCAGTCAGCACAGCGCCTTGAAAGATGGAGCTCCACTGCATCAATATAATAAAGGCGCTGATCACTCGTCTTCTGTTCGCTGTTCACGGACTAATCGCCATCTGGAGGGTAACGGATGTGTACAAAGCGTCCATCTATTGGATCGGCCTGTCAGGACTAGCCGGGCTCTTCATAGAGACATGCTACACCGTCGGCAAGAGGAAGGGCAAGGAATACAAATGGTGAGTCCTCCTACTAATCATTGGCACGCAAACAGGCACCGTCGGTCGACCGTAATGCGGTTATCCGGACGCGTGCACGAACCTTTAAGGCTTAATTTGGACTTCATCTGTTCTTAACGCCATGACTTACGACGTCCTTGGCAGTTGAAAGGCAAATCTGGAAATGCGTCTTGATAAATTGACGCCGCTCGCCCGAAGCTCGCCTCGCTTGACGGCGCACTTCACGCTCCTTGCTTAAGAAGAAAGAGACTTTCTCCCGACGGCCCCGTTGCAGATCATTAGCTATCCTAGCTGCATGAATGTAACACAATCACAGGAAGCCAGACACCCATTTAACTACACCTTGATGATTTAATAAAAAGAACAATGAAACCGCTGACTAGACTTGCCAAAAATCCAAAATAACATTTGGTGTATGTATGCCATATACAGTTTTCTACTGTAAGAAGTCATAAAAAGATTTTTTACTGGTATCTCTTTCGTTTTTGTTACGACATCGTCTTGCATTTGATACGTTAGAACAATGAAACCGCTGACTAGACTTGCCAAAAATCCGAAATAACATTTGATGTATGTATACCATATACAGTTTCTAGTTTTCTACTATAAAAAGTCATAAAAAGAATCTTTTCACTCGTATCTCTTTCGTTTTTGTTGCGATATCGTCTTGTATTTGATACGTTTTCTTCAAAGCCATACAACAACGCAATCTGCTATCATCGTTGTTATATAGAATCTTTATTTTTGCATGTTCATGCCCATGGGGCTAAATGCATACATCAGAATGTGATGTAACATGTACATTGCACTGAGTAACATGATACATAGGATACAAGGATAACAGAATAACAGAATGACGTAAAGTCTTAACAACTACTAGAGAATAAACTAAACTAGGCCTTAAGGATTTCTTCTCTCCTTTTAAAGCAATTGGAGATAAATTCACAAAGTTTTTCTATTGTATGGTCATTACTGGTGGACATGAGATGACTGAATACCTCTTTCTTTGTTCTACCTTTATACAGTTTGTCTAAGTGGATTGTTCTAAATAGTGTGTCACGTTCAATATCAAACATTTTACAATCAAGTACAAAATGTATTTCATCTTACCAACTTACTTACTATATAACAATACTGCAATTGACGAAGGCTGGTTGTTGTAGACTTAAGTTGATCAGTAATTTTAAAGAAATCTGAATGGCTGACAGTGTTAGTTCAGTGTTTTACTCAAAGTGATGTTGACGTCTGACATTTGGCTCATTAAGGGTTACCACTTAACGCTTTTCATCGTCATCATCATAATCATTGTTCACTTTTATGATACCATAGAGACCTATGTTATAAAGAAGTGTGTTAATGTGCGATGTTCGGTATCAAACGTGTTTATCATTGACACACATAATCTACGTTAGGAAAATTCTAAATAGCTCGTTGTATGTGAAGTGTAGTTTACTTACTGTGCTGGCAGTGATCATCTCTGATTGCAGTATGAAAGACAGTGAATATGAGATGCTTTGTTACAGTTAAGTTTATTCATCTGCAGATACAGGCCTGATGATATCTTTAAGTGTTGGAGTTAAGCATGGAGACAGTCAGGCAATGGATAGTGCTGAAACAGCTTGCTACCACGTCTTTTGGATGTAAACGTGAACTTTGGTATCTAACAATATTCAGACAAAACTTCTCATTGCTACCATTTCATTTACTAACGATAGAAATTGAATAGTTCAGCGGGTGCCAATGCGAATCTGTTTCTCACTTCTTACTTCACTGCCCAGCTTACACTTACCAGCGTCTTCTTCTCTTCGGCTAACTTTCAAGGGTGGTGGGACACATTTTGGGCTTAAATTCCCTGTCTGAAAATTCTTTGGAACATCTTTTACTTTACAGATCATCCTTTTGCATTTTTGAGACTAATTGTAAAATTATGAGCTTTACTCATAATCAAAAGTGGTCGTTTTGTATCTGACTGATCTTTTCAAATTCAATTATTCTACTCATGTCCTATCAGCAATTCTAAGGGATAGGGGTTGGGACTTGCGCTCGTTGAATTCCATTTACTAAACCCCAAATAGTTTGCTTCAATTTTGTATATTAATTTCTTTGTCCATGTAATTACCATATCTCTGTTTAATAGTTTTGTGTAGATGGCGCCGTTAATATAAGTTCTATGGAACTTGAGTTCGATGCCATCTTGTTTGTATTTATGTTTTTGCTGTTTTAATAAAACGATTAACTAGGCAATCTGCAATCAAAATGGCCCGTTTAGAGATCCTGCTCAAATATGGACAAAAGATAAAGAATTTCCTGTGAAAATGCAGGTTGCTCTTTGGTCTGCCCAGAGCACCTTATCATGTCAAACCTCAGGTAGTTTTTGACCCATTTTAGCTTCCGCGGCGCCATTTGCTCTTAATCCGTCTTAGGTCACACCAAGTAAATTTTATGGATGACGTCCTTTGGAGACCCTATATCTAATGCGAGACGGCGAAAAAAAACAAGAAGGGCCCTAAAAAACAAGATGCCTAGATTAGAAATATACTAAGAGACGACAAATGTTAGGACACAAATTGAATGAGGTGACACAGATTAACAAGCAAGAAGACTTTTATTCATCATCAAAACAGCAATAAATCAGGTGGAACAGCAGTTGTCGTCCTGTCCTGTTTTCGCGTTACGGGTTTCACGTCAATCTGACGATTTACGGCACTGTCGTGACTCTTTGGTCATAGTTACAGGAAGCGAAATTTCTTGGGTTTTTTTTCTAGGAACAGGCCAAAATCAATGCGCGCGCGGACGTCATCCATAAAATTTACCTGGTGTGGCCTTATAAACCGGCCGTTAAATCTGTTTGATCGGCCGCTCCATGGCGTGCCATTCATCTATCCACGGTCGATGCCAGATTAGCCTAATGGTCGCGGTAATGTGGTCAATCAAGCCAATTCCACTTTTAATTAAGAAGCTTGGCATGGAAATGTGCCGCAGCCGCTTCCGTAAATCTTCAGAGAAGACAGTACGGATAGTATCATCCATCCTTTTTGTATTGATTGGGCTAAGGCCATGTTGATTTGATTGTATGGATGATATCCGCGCGCGCATGAATTTTCGGCCGTTTACCAAAAAAAAAAGTTTTCAACCATACTGTAAATCGTACAAAACAGTTGCAAAAGGAGCAAAAATATACCATAAGTTACAAAAAAAAAATTAATAAAAACTATACCAACGTCGTAGAATGCCAAAATCAAACGAAAAAAGACGAAATTGTAAAGAAATGAACTTGAAGACTAGGTTATTCGCCAAACCATATTCTGTGCCATTTGCTCAACCCTCATGACCACGTAGATTTCATAATGAAAAGAACTTCTTTTTTTTTTTGCAAAACTTTTTTTTTATTCGCACGCGCGCATCAGTTTTGGGGCTCCCGGAGGATGTCATCCATATAATCAAATCAACATGGCCTAATCAGTACTCTTTGTGATGACAGAGCCCTTAAAGGCATCCAGTGCGATTTCAGGGAGAAAAACTGGAAATATTCTGACTAAGGCAATCTTTGTGATATTGACACATACTGCTTCACATTAGCACATTTAGCACATTTGAGGAAGTATTTCATACTTTTGGCTTTTAAAACTGCAGAAACTAGCCCCAAGATCTAGATGATGTCCTTTATTTTCTGGGTGGTACCCTAAAAATCAGGCCAGGGCGCTTCCAGTAACATTTTTCGTCAGAATTTTTTGTACATTTTACTCCATGAGGGTCGATATACATCGTGACAGTGTGGTTTCAACTCAATATGTAGATAAATGACTAGAATATTAGCTTTGAAAAATCGGGTTTCCAAGCCCTAAAAACTGCACTGCATGCTTTTGAAGAATGAATAGCTAGTGGCCGTTTTCTTGACTAATACAGAGACCAAAGCTAATATTGAAAACACGTACATAGTAACTCAAACGTCATCAATAAGTTATCGGCATCAATGAATAATGTACCGCCATAAAGGACGTAATTAATATTTCATTTTCTTTACTTTCTGCCGTTTTGTTGTTGTGCCGTCATTATGTGTTGTCAAAGGCTTCTTCATTTCCCCACATATATGTAATGTGTATTGTGAAGACTAGTGTAATGTGTTTGGAATGTGTATAATGATATGAAATGGCTGCGTTTTGGGTCATTATGGCAATAGAACGGTGCAACATCAGTCATGTATGACATGAATGTGTGTTAAGACACGTTACTCATGTTTTAGTATGGAAAATTACTGGAGTTTTTCGACTGCTTTGACCTATAAAATTTGTCAAATAGTTAAATCCAAAGATGTTTCTATCAGCCTTAAGCTTTCAGTGTACAAAATAGAACCACAATGATGGAATAATCTTTTTATCTTCAACGCTCTATTATTTTTATGGCAAGACATGATTTTGTTTTTATGTCCGAGAGGGACACAATGAGTGAAAAGAAAGGTATTACTTCCGATCGAATGTTATTACTGTCATTACCTGTGGTAGTTTCCTGAAAGGTCATAATAACTATGGAAAAAGTACTGCATCAATCATGATTGAACCTATAGAAAGTACAACGGGCCAACATAATAGTTACGATCAAATAGGTCAGTATAACACAAACGCCAATAGTAATGTTGATGTATTTTCATAGCATGAATTCTATACTTTCAATTGTACCCGAAAACGGCACTTCGTGCGTTTGAATGAAATCAGACGTTGTCTACTACAGAATCATAAAAAAAAGTAAGTCTATGTATTCCAGGAGCACCCTAACACATTGTGGATTGAACCTATAGCAATTGCAACGGGTCAAAATAATAGTTACGATCAAATAGGTCAGTATAACACAAACGCCAATAGTAATGTTGATGTATTTTCATAGCATGAATTTTATACTTTCAATTGTACCCGAAGATGGCACTTCGTGCGTTTCACTGAAAGCAGACGTTGTCTACCACATAATCATAAAAGTAAGTTCATGTATTCCAGTAGCCTCTTCACACATTGTTGTAAAATGACTTGAACCACATCGAATAGCTGGATTAGCAGGTGGTACTAAAATTCATTGCAGTTATAAACAATATAATAAGTTGAGCACCGATACAAAATGTCCTTCCTGCCTTACCATTTCTAATCCTGTTGTCGTCAACCTTTCAAGAAATGTCTGTACAGCTACCTACGATGGGGTCCTTTTCTGCACGGTTCAATGTGGCACGGCATTGTTGTTATCTGCATGGGTTGGTTACTGTAAACTAGACCGTGAAAATCAGCAAATAGCTTACCTCGTTACTCGCTTCGATCTGCAGGCATCAGAGGCCACAAAGAGTCAGTGATGCAAGACTCGCCATATGGCACCTTCTGAACAGTCTCAAACATCATAACTTACCAATTCTCATAACCTTTGGGGCAATAAAGATCGTGAACTTTAGAAATGAAATATCATAAACAAGATGTCCGAGACTATTTGACACTTTTTGTTCATAACGTGTGCTAATATACCGTAAATGAAATGTGTCTGTAGCTGCCTCTTTATTGAACGCGACAGTTATAAACATAAATCCCTAGCGGAACCTCATAACGTTCTAATGAAGTGTCGTTTCCTCCACAAATTGCCACATATGTGCGCAGCTACATGCCGACCCTGTACAGTCGATTTTTTTACACCTCTAGGCTTTACAGCGTATTCGGGTTAGGCAAATGCTCGAGATAGAATGTGGTATTACTCAAATGCCTTCCAGAGGTCTACAGATGAGACAACGTACCACATTTCGAGATCCTCAACAACGCCTTAAAAAATGTCCCGTTCCACTCTATTGCAGAGCGTAGGGTGGTGCCCATATCCATTTCTGTAGCCCTTGGGCGACACACAGTTGTGCAATGCACTGCAGAAGGGGGCTGGTCTGCTGGTAGTGCTGTGTGTTTGACCTCCCCACACTCTTTCTCATATGTGCTAAGCAGAAAAAGAAGTGTGTACCATTTTTAAAGGCTTTAAAGCATTCTATAAAATTTTCTAGCTGAAAAGGAGGCCCTTCTGCTAGTTATATGGTCGTCAGTAGGAAAAGCTACATGCTAGTGCAAAAGATAAAAGTCTCTACTGAAACAATAGGCAGAAGAGTATCAGCAGCTTTCAATTCCAGCTGCTTTATAAGTAGCATTTTACAAACAAAAATGGTGCTAACTATATAGCATACCATGGTAACGGAGTTACAGCAGCCTAAGCAAGTAGAAAAGAAATCTTTTAGATGGATTTAATATAATATAACATGGAATGAAATTTATCGCACGAAAAGAGGTCAGATAAGGAGTATTGCATTTCATAGACGACTGTTTAACTGTGTTGTTATGTGTCACGTTGATCCCCAGGAGAAGTTGTTCTATAACACATCTGTCAGTGAACCCGATACGTGTACAAGCTCCAATTTCACGCTATTTGGCGTAGCGTCAGAGTGCTCGACTCGGAACCTAGAGGTCCCGGGTTCGAGTCCTGACATGCCACCGATCTTGTGCCCTTGGGAAAGAAGGCACTTTACACGACTTTCCTCACTTAGCTCAGGTGTAAATGAGTATTGTATTGTCCCCTGTGTTGGTGACGGCATTAATATAAGTTTGAAAAACTTGAGTGCGACGTCACCACGTTTTAGAAGTTATTAAAAAAAATCACGCTCCTCTATTCAATACAGAAGTACAAGTTATAATTTTACGCGTACACAGTGCTAGGGTACAAATGCAACCTGTGGTGATGCTATTCTTTGTAGGAAATTCTGAAATGGTCAGTTTTTACATATCAAAGTGGTACCTACATCATGGTTCGAAAATGTACATGTGGATTTTTAAAAAAGTTATTCGGGATATTGTCTATATCTTTCAGCTTTATACAGTATTTCATAACCAGCATAGCGGACATATGTACAAATGGCAAGCCGGGTGGCACTTATTTTACGACTACTGTTCTTTTTATGGCATACATATATATATCCAAATGGATCGGAATCCATTATAACATCTCTAGCATTGGGGAAATGGAAGAACGAGTCTGAAATAACAGTCATTACTGTGGTTGTATTTGAGAAATGTAAAACAATTGTTTAAAACATAATGGAATCATTTCGTATTCGCATCACCTCCGACGAATCTATTTCAGTCTCACTGTCAAGGACTTTCCTATCGAACCTCCTGTACCGATGAAACCTGTCATCCTCCATTGGCCCTAAAACTACCATTGGGGGTGACACGATCGTGACCTAATCCCCAGAGGAACGTCCCTGTCAGAGACATTGCATGTCAGATGATGAACGACAACGTCATTGGTCGTACCTGATGTTGTACCTAATGACGTCTTGACTCATTGAACATCGTTGCGGATGTTGATGAATAAGGAAAAAGTGGATTATCTAGATTCTAAAGAAGTCTGCTTCGCAATGACCTGGAGGTCATTACATGCTCTTCTTGCACATAAACGCCATATAATAATGGAAGAAGATCTGCAAATGCTATTCTTCGAATAAAACGAATGTCAAAGAACACACTCCTGTATAAAGGAACTATTCTTTTCAGTATAGCGTCACTGGCAGAACAGAAGTTTTGTGTCTAGGTAGACAAAAACTAGTGCAAATTATGGCCGGCCATACTAGTATTTATCTTTTTTTTTTAAGAATTTTATTCAAGAAATATAAAACAATTCAAATACAAAGAGAACATGGGAACCAATAAACTACATAAACTACACGTTCAGTCATGGTTGACTAAAAGTAAGAACCAAGAATAACTTGTGTAAAATGAGGCAAAACAAGTTAAATATGCATGACACGGCAAAAGTGAATAATTAATCTGAACATAAAGTTCCCCATTTACCCCGATGCTTCTCCAGCTTCCCTCTCCGAGATGCAATAAGAAACTCTGTCTTTTGGTAAAAGGACACTAACTTTTAAAAGGACTGAAAATGTAGACTTTTATATCGCCGAGAGCGAAAGATAAAGAGTTTACCCAGTAAAATAATTAAATTCTTTAAAGAGGACGCATTTACAGATAAGTCACCAAAAATAATCACAAAAGGCGTTAATTCTAAATTTAGACCAATTTCTTGGGTTAACCATTTTAGTATAACGAACCAAAAAGGGATGACATGAACACACTCCCAGAAAACATGTATATAAGATTCTTCATTCTGATCACAAAAGGAGCAGGAATTTGACTCAATCAAATTCCAGGTTCGAAGAATTTTGTTGCACGGTAAGAACTTGTTTATCAAACGATACTGAAAATACCTCAAACTTCGATCAATAGTAGATTTTAGGACCGATTACTAGTATTTATCTATTACTAATAACTTGAGCTTTAGCCATGTTTGTTTTTGAGATTTTTGCTTTGTTTTTAACTCCTGGCAGACGTCGACGGACATTATGAGAAGTAGTCAAATTACCAAGTTAAATAGTTACATAAAATAGCACCAAATTACCCAAATCAACACTTTTTATCATCAAATACCAAACCTGTCACAAATCATAATTCAAATCAATGATTGTTTTCAATATACTAGATAACTAGTCCTAGTCATAATTGTTCGACCTACTACCTGCAACAACACATCTTGGTCGTAATACATTTAACTTATATCATCGTAGGCAATAAGAACATATTCAAGTACATATTACTGTAACATGAATAGAATAGAGGATGAACAACACTTTATTTTAGACTGTACTTTATATTCTAATAAAAGATCTGTCCTTTTTAATCATATCAAAGAGAAGTTCCCATACTTCGAACACCTAAATGCAAACGATAAATTTATATTTTTGATGCATCTAGACAAACCCTGTATCACAAATATGATCTGTTCCCACATTTTCCATTGTACAAAAAAGCAAGAAGAAGTTGACCACTCTGTATTAGCTCAGTAACTAGAACACTTTGTATTAGCCTAGTATAGTATCCTTGTATGTTACTTACGTATGTATGTCTAAGTCAAGCAATGTATCTTTTGTCTACACTTTTCTACATATGTTTGTTATGTGTCTGTTAAGTCTTGACCTGTACCTAGCCCGTCGTGGCATGAATGTACAATAAAGGTATTTCATCATTAATAACTAATACTATTTTTTCGAAGGTGGTGTCCGAGTTTTTTCTTCTATCTCTCTGTCATGGTCCCGGCCATCTGGTTTCTGGAGTTGCAACGTTTGGACGAGCGGATACAGCTGGAGGTGGACATAGAGCTCAAAAACCAGAACTCCACTTCCAACAAGGAGGAGGAAGAGACTGGAGGTCCGATACGGCTCGTGGATGGGGTAAGAATTCAGATAGATTTAGGATATTTTTTTTTACTTTCCTAAGGCCACAGCAAGTAAATTTTATGGATGACATCCTCCGCAGACTCCAAATTTAATGCGAGCGGGCGAAAAAAAAACAAGACGGGCCGGAAAAAAACAATGTTCCTACATTTTAAAATTTTGACTCAATCATTGTTCAAATGGTTTTGATTCAGTGGGAACATCACATATACACAGCCAGCATCTCATATCACTGCATCAAAACATTAAATCAGAGCCTTTTCTTGTCTCCTCTCTTGATGTTATCTGCCATCCACCTTCCGGCATGACAACAGACATCTTGGCCTATTTTCGGCATGTTGACCACTGTCAGAAGGCAACAAAATTTCTTGTTTTTTTCCCAAAGTCAGGCAAAAATTAATGCGCGCTGATGTCATCCATAAAAATTACTTGCTGTGGCCTAATGTTTATAATTTACTAGTACACTGCTCATGCATAAGATTGAGAAGTGCCCACTTAAAAAAAAAATCTGTAGCCTGGATGCCAGACCAATAATACACTAGGCCCACGGTTTGTCAGAATGATGGGAATAACTGAGGGGGGGTTGTGGTATAATTTCCTTGGCCGTAGAGCCGTGAACTTGGCCTGTTTAGGCCCTGGAGACAGCCTGGCACCCAGGCTATTTATTTGGGGCCCTATAGGTGATCGTTGCACTGCTTTTTACTTAGCATCGTGACGTACATGTAGATCAGGCATGTTTTTGTTAAATTTATTAGCACTACATTTCCCTTTGCAATCTGCATGTCCCAAACCATACTAACATCTCATCTATATAAGCGAGCACGTTTTCCTCATGCTACATGTACCAGTGTCCATATCCTTCATGCACATGTGTCCATATAAAGCTACGGTCACAACCCGCCGCACGTGCTTCTGTGTGCTGTCTACGTGCAAAAACGTGGGCAAACGCAGGGCATCCGTGCGTGGTGAGTACCGCCTCCGTACGGAATCCTACGGATTTGGGAGCACGCAGACACGCCGTAGAACTTTAAGTGCAAGTAAAACTTTTTCTGCGTGCGGTCTGCGGATTCACCACCCGTGCGTGCGAGTACGGGCGACGCGCGTGCCCCGTACGTACCGTATAAAAGACGCACGTGCGAGTACGGCCTCCTTACGGTAAAGTTGCAATCGCACAGAGATCGTACGTTGTAAGCACGTACAACTCACTTACCGCTTGCGCAACGTACGATGCACGCAACCGCTCACGGCCAGACGGGGCGTGCAGACCACACTCTTACACTTTGCGAAACCGTGCGAGTAACGTGCGTCGATGCCACTCCTTCTCCACGTTTTCAAAAAAAAAAACGTAGCAGACGTAGCCTCCCAAAAAACGTACGGACAAAAACACGTGCGGCGGGTTGTGACCGAGGCTTAAGCTACATGTTCCAGTGTCCTCCTGTAAATGTAAAGTGGACACTGCACTTGATGTAGCTGCACCCCTTGCTTGCCATCTTCACTCACACTCTAAACCTACCAATAGCTCCCTTGTATCCATTACCTTCCTTTTCCCTTTCCCCTGCCGCTGCTATTTCTTGCTTTCCCCCCGATGGTAACCCTACCCCAGCAAAAGTTCTTCACGCGTTTGAAATGTACGAGGCGCAGGCGACCACGGAGCACCGGTATCGTCATGCCCGATATCCCCGGACTCAACCTGAAAGAGGTACACTATAAAAATGGAGAGTTTCGTGTGTTTTACAGTGAAAATATAACAGTGATTCTAAACAAAAGAGTACATATAAGCCTCTCTACTGGTAAAATACACGAAACGTTCCGATTTTATAGCGTATTCTTGTCAATGAACCAACGAATCACAAAGCGAACGATGGTACTTTTTATTATTTATGAATACACGATAAAAATATTCGTGAAATGTTATTCAACTTTCACGTTCATTTTTCCTCTTAAGACCGAACTTTTTCAACACTCGTTTGACAGCTTGATCTCACCTAGAGCTTTCGACCAGTCACTCTGGTCTTCTTCAATAGAATGAGTCTTCTCACGTGACTTGGGGTGGGTCAAAGGTATCTGGTAATCGATGTCGGCCCCCGTCGCGGTCTCACTGGGTAAGTCTATGGAAGAGGACCATAGGTACTGGTCGAAAGCTCTAGTCTCAAGACTAATTTCTTGTGTTGGAACAATTAACTTTAAACAATGTCATGTAACTACCAAAACAAATGTATTTTCATGATAGCACGAAATGCTGTTGCTATAAAAAGAGTAGGAACTAAAGCTTGAGTTGCCTGCCAGGTTGACATTCCTCTGGAGCTGAGCTCGGAAGAGTGGGTGTTGGCCGTGGAGCTGGGCATGCTGTTCCTGCTGATCTTTGGCCGCTGGGTCATGCCGCGGGGCGAGGTGACGCGAGACCAACTCTCGCAGCTGCTCTTCGTATATCTGGGCAGCGCCGCCGATATCCTGGAGTTCTGCGACACCCTGAAGGTTCGTCACTTTTTCATTCATCTATTGCAGGTTATTTTTTTGGTAGTGCTGAGGCTATGGCAAATGGCTATGGGCCTATGACGTATTTTTTTTTTAATATTTTTTTAAATC